TAGCCATTATAGTAGATGCATGGTGGCATTTTATTGTGGTTTTAATCTGCTTACCCCTAATGACTAATGATATTGAGCATTTTTTCTGTGGCTAATTAGCCATCTGTGTATCTTCTTTGGTGATGCACTGTTCAAATCATTTGACAATTTAAAAGATGGAGTTATTTTCTTAATCCTGAGTTGGGGATTAAAAAAAAAATCTGACTACAAATACTTTATCAGGTATGTGATTTGCAAATATTTTCTTCCCATATTTGGTTTCTTTTCATTATCTTTCAAAGAGTAGAAATTCTTAATTTTGATGAAGTTCAACTTACCAATTTGTTCTTCTTTGGATCATGCTTTTGGTGCTGTAAGTGCTACTTCTTGAAGTAACTTGTTAATGCATTCTGTTACACCACAGTCCCCAGATTCCCTGCCGTGCCATTTATCAATTTGTTGCCTCTCAGCTCCAACTCATCCTTTTTGCCTGCCCTGTGAAAGCAGAAATGGACCCTAGAAATATGTTTTTCTTTGCCGTCTGGCATGATGTTAAACTTGGGTGAGGCATTGCGGGAGGAAAGGGGTTCTCTTGCTAGTTCTGCTGGGCTAGCCCCGCAGGTTTCTGGAGCACTAGACTCTCGTGCGCAACACGTTCTCTATCGGCAGCGGCTGTTTTATATTATATGGTATTATTTCTATTACATCTGCTATTACATTTTAAAAATATTATATTTTTAGCTGCTCTTTTAATCTTCTTGAGTGTTCTCTTTACTTCTTCCTAGCCCACAGATGGGCAAACCGCGGGCTAAATCCAGCCTACCGCCTGTTTTTGTGAATAGGTTTTACTGGAACATGCTCATTCATCTATATACTGTTTAGGGCTGCTTTTACACAGCAACAGCAAAATTGAGCAGCTGCTGTGGAAAGAGCCAAGATGTCCATCGACAGATGAATGGATAAAGAAGATGTGGTATATATATATACAATGGAATATTATGCAGCCAACAAAAGGAATGAGATCTTGCCATTTGCAACGACGTGGATGAAACTGGAGGGTATTACGTTGAGTGAAATAAGTCAAACAGAGAAAGACATGTATCATATGCTCTCACTGATATGAGGAATTCTTAATCGCAGGAAACAAACTGAGTGTTGTTGGAGTGGGGGGTGGGGTGGGAGGGATGGGGTGACTGGGTGATAGGCACTGGGGAGGATGTGTGCTCTGGTAAGCGCTGTGAATTGTGCAAGACTGTTGAATCTCAGATCTGTACCTCTGAAACAAATAATGCAATATATGTTAAGAAAAAAAAAAAAGAAGAAGAAGAAGAAGGTAGCGGGAGGGGAAGAATGAAGTGGGGGAAATCGGAGGGTAGACGAACCATGAGAGATGATAGACTCTGAAAAACAAACTGAGGGTTCTAGAGGGGAGGGAGTGGGAGGATGGGTTAGCCTGGTGGTGGGTATTGAGGAGGGCACATTCTGCATGGAGCACTGGGTGTTGTGCACAAACAATGAATCATGGAACACTTCATCTAAAACTAATGATGTAATGTATGGGGATTAACATAAGAATAAAATTTAAAAAAAAATTGAGCAGCTGCAATAGAGACCAGATGGCCCCCAAAGCCTAAAATTTTTTTCTGTACAGAAAACATTTAGGGGTGCCTGGGTGGCTCAGTCGGTTGAGCACCCACCTTCTGCTCAGGTCATGATCCCAGGGTCCTGGGGTCGAGCCCCGCATCAGGCTCCTTGCTCTGCTTCTCCCTCTGCCTGCTGCTCCCCCTGCTTGTGTTCTCTCTCTCTCTGACAAATATATAAAATTTAAAAAAAAATTTTTAATAACCCCTATACTAGCCGGTTCCTCATTAGTCCAATCCCATTATGTTTCATCATTCTTGATGTTAAACTATCCCTGTTCAAATTACTGTGTGGCTTTTCTAATCTCACTGGGCCCAGTCTAATGCCTCACCAACCTCTCTGTCCCTTTGTCATTGTCCATTTTCAGGCTCACCGTCCTTTACCTATCCCATGTTAGTGCTCCCCAAGACCCTCCTCTCTGCTTTCTGTTATAGCCCCTCTAAGCCACTTGTTTGCTTACTCATCTTCCATTATTGGGTTTAACCGATGGTTTTTTTTTTTTTAACCGATGGTTTTTAATTTTAATTTTAATGAATGAAATTGCATGCAAATTTTGTGTGGATGTGCAAAAGCACATACATGTGGGGAGGTCTCCAGCCACCTCTTTGGGCAACATGGCTTAGTAGTCAAGGGCATAGAGCCTGGATATATCCTTCTTAAGTTTGAATCCCAGTTCTGCCACAATGGCCTGGGATAATTTATTTAACCTTGCTGTTGCCTCAGTATCCTTGTCTGTAAAAAAAAAAAAAAAAAAAATTGTAGTCCTACCTCATAGAATTACTATGGGAATTAAGGTAGTTAATATATACAAAGCACTTGGACAGGGCCTGACACATAATAAGCACCATTTAGGCATTGGCTGTAATCGTCATTTCTAGAACTCCCTCTTGCCCCTGTGCCACAGCTAGACCAGTGTTTTCTTATTCTAGTGCCCCTGCTTTCTCTGACTCTCAGATCTCCAGTGGGCTCTTCCCTCTGCTCAGAGCACTCTCGCCTGTATGTTTGCCCACTAACTCCTGACCTTCCCTCAGGCCTCAACTCAAATGTATTTCTTCAAAGAAGCTTTTCCCGATCTCCAGACCAGGAGGAGCTTCGTGCTATGACCTCCCAAAACTTTCTTTTCCCTCATAACCCTTATCACAATTTATTCATGGTGATCACGTAAAGTTCCTCCCCAGCAGGCCATAAGCTCTGAGAGGGCAGAGGTCATTTCTGCCGGGCTCCCTGCTGCACCTCAGCACAGTGCCAAGGAATAGCATAAACATTCATCAAATGAACAAGTGAATCAATAAGGGACAAAACACATGAAAGTCTTTTAATAAAGGTGTAAAAACCTATGCATAGATTAGGTACCACAATAATGAGCATATGACAAAATCTGATGATTATTAGATAATCTATCATGAAATCAGTAGAAATTTATATTGTGTGAAGGAAACCTCTTCAATTTCTGTAAGATATATTCATTTAAATTGAGCTTGGAACATGTCTTTCAATCAAATGGAAATGAATTATCCAATTACTGACTTGTTACCACATCCCCTACCTCTACCTCTTGGAAACCAGATATTAGCCTCAGATGGCAGAGCTGAAAGGAATAATTGAACAGGGAACCTGCTTGTTCTCAGAGAATTTTCATGGCCTTAATTCAAGACAGGATTACAGACTTTCATGAGTAAGCAAAACCAACTGTGCTAATCTGAGAAATTCAATGCCACCCTGGGAGTTAATGTATCTAATCCAAGTCACCAGGAAAACTGTGTTCTATTATCAATTAACACTCAAACAGCAGGAAAATGATGATAGCATTATAATACAAAATAGACACAATAAAGTGATTCTCCTGGGAATGTCTTCAGGGACGGGTTGCTTACAGTCCCCTGGATGAAGGAATCCTTAAGGAGGAAGGATTCCCACCTACCCTCTTCCTTCCCAACTGTCAGACTCCAACCGCTCCTCTCCTGTGTAATCAGCCTCGGAACACTCCCCAGACGCCAATCTTTGATCTCCAGGAGAAACAGTGCGGTAACTGCTTCACCATGATTGGGGAAAACTTAACCAAGATCTGGACTTGGGCACCGGGAGCTAGAGGACTGGGGAGGGTTCACGACAACCCTGGCGGCCAGAGGGCTGTGGGAGAGTTGGACGATCCTAGAAGCCCTGGTAGAGCCTAGATGGCTGGGGATTTGTTGCGTTAACTTGCGCAAGGGTCAACTTGTCTGAGCAGCGCGGGAGGCAGCGCCCTCATGCCCAAGCTGTGGACTACATTTCCCAGACGGCTTTGCTCCCCGGGCTGTCGTACTAAGATTAGGGCGTGCCTGGGAGGAGCAGCACGGTCCGCGAGCACAGCTGGGGCATCTCGCTCAGCTCTTACCTACGGCCACAGCAGCCATCCCACAAGATGATCGGGATCCTCCTGCTCCTGCTCCTGCTCCTCCCCCTTTTCCTGTACATCGCTGCACCCCAAATCAGGTCTGTGCAAATGTATTGCCTTCTTTGAGAAGAATTCAGGAGGACGTTAATCCTCACCGAAGCTCTGTTTCCAAAAGAAGGAAAAGGAAAATCCCTGGGGGACTCCAAGTAGGTCGAGGCCGGGAGTTCGGTTGGTCGGAGGAGGTCCAGCTCTCCTGGATGCGGGGGGACGAGAGCGAGAGACCCCGGGCGGTGGGAAGGGGCTGAAATGCTCACTCTGTTTCTCCCGATCCCTTTTTTCGTCTCAGAAGCCCTTGCTTTCTGCTCCAGAGAACCCCGAGTGCAAGGCTACCTCAGATACTTACGTTTCCAGCATTGGGAGATTTTAGACCCTGAAATGGGGTGTGGACCTTAAGACTGTTTTCCCCTTAGCTCCCATCCCTTGAACCAGCCCTGTCTAGTTTCTTGCTTCCAGCCTTTGAAGTACAATGGAGCGATTCGACCTTTTGCTCTCAGAAACTGTCCGTCGATGGGAATCGTGCTATCTGCAGACCCGTTGCTTGCTCTCTTGTTGCAGTTAGATTCGCCTTTTTTTCTGGGCGGATGTTGTAGAGGAAAGAAATGAAAGGGTTTCATCATGAGCCGTATCCTGCCGTCAGAGCAGGAGTATCTGGGGACCTGAATCATGCCCAGGGTTTGGGGGTGACGCAGAGAAGATGAAGGGTAGTGGGCTCTTGACCTGGTGACAGATCAGCCAATGGCTGGCTGAGTGCCGCAGAGAATCGGCGGAGAGCTGCACAACGGGCGCCTGCTGATTGGTTCTGAGTATATCACCCGTGGTGACGGTGAACCAGAGACTGTAGAGACAGAGTCCTTCCCCCGGGGCTGGGGCGGGAGCGTGGTCACCATCCACCCTCGTGCTCCTCTTCTAGTTTTATTTTTCCTCCCTTCTGACCACCTAGTGCTCCCACTCAGATGAGAACGCTTTTTCTCTTTCCACCTCAAGATCCTTTTACCCAAAGAGAATTCCAATGAAAAGTTGGGCCTGCCCTGAAAATAGGGCTCACACCTCTGCGAGGTTTTTCCGAGGAAGATTTTACTGCAAGGGTCATATCCCCAACCACCTGGCTAGGTCATGGGAGCTAGCCTAGACTGGACTTTTCAGCTGATTCTCTTTCAGTCCTGTTGGTAAGGAGAAGAAAGAACTCGGTAGAGGTCCTGATATGTTGTTGCTCCTGGAGCTAAAACTGAAAGGATGTGAAAAACTGAGCAGGGAGGCTTGTTCTCTGAGGAGGAGGATATCTTTTGGTGAGCACCAGTTTGCTTCCTTATTGACCTGTGTGCACTAAGCAGATAACTTTAGTGGCTAGGAGTGTGTGCCTTGCAACTCCAGGTTCAATAAAAAAGGCTGAAATGCTCTTTAAAAGGGCATCTCCTGGTCAAGAGATTCTTTTAACTTGAGTCTTGAAATTTGTGGAGAAGAAAAAAGAACAATCCCTGTTTGTGCATTCATTTCTTTGGAAAAGAAAGGTAGTACAGTGCTTAGGAACAAGGACACTAATTAAACCAGGACTTGAAACCCAGCTCCCCTTTATACCGATTTACGTCTTTTCTTTGTCTTACTTTTGATTGTGTGCGCGTGTTTCTGTTTGCTTTACGCCAGCAAACAAGCTTCCATAATTTTAACTTTTTGTGTTGGATTAGCTGCATATCAAGACCATAAAGTGCCAGTTGTGGACAGATTGACATAAGTGGACCAGTTCTTGCTTCTTCTAGGCTGAGTCTTATGATTCCCTAAGCCTGTCAAAGAACTCAAACTGAAGCCAGGTGCCTGGATAATCACATATTTATCCAGTTCTTGTACTGCAGGGGGCAGCGCTAAGGTTTGCCCTTATAATAGAATCGCTTTTGTTCTCCAGCAAGAGCAGAAATTTTTTGAGCAAAAAAAAAATCTTGAGCAAGAGCAGAAAATTTTTCTTCAATCTTCCTTAAATCTATAAAAAGACAGCACTAGAAAGAACCAAAGCAAACTTTAGCCTTGGGATCGGAAGACATGGTAGTTACAGGAACCTCTGAGACAAGGAAAATGAAGAACTGATGAGCTCTCCTTCTCCCTACAGGAAAATGCTGTCCAGTGGGGTGTGTACATCAGCCGTCCAACTTCCTGGGAAGGTCGCTGTGGTCACTGGAGCCAACACGGGCATTGGAAAGGAGACAGCCAAAGAACTGGCTCAAAGAGGCAAGCTTACTGCTTCTGATTCCTTCCTACTCCTGCCATTTTATCCCTCACAAGGATGACCATGCTCATTATTTCCTCCCAATCTTGGAATTCAAGAACTTTCCAAGTGTCCCACAGATTCACTGGTCTAAACCTAGTATTAATGCTCTACATATAATGGACACTTAATATTATTGATTTATTTTTCTTTTTTGATTTGTTCATCAAATACCCCTGTCATGAAGTAGGGGTAAAATTCCCATTTAAAAAAAAAAAAACAACAGTAGAAAATAACATTTATAAGTCTGTGGGTCTATAGTGTCCACTCAAAAGCAGAGCTGACAGTGTGTCTCTTTTATATATTGGTTGATAGGAGCCCGCGTGTATTTAGCGTGCCGGGATGTACAAAAGGGGGAATTGGTGGCCAGAGAGATCCAAATTGTGACTGGGAACCAACAGGTGTTAGTGCGGAAACTGGATTTGGCTGATACAAAATCTATTCGAGCCTTTGCTAAAGACTTTTTAGCAGGTAAGTATAGAACTGGAGATTATGTTGTTGGTCTTGCAATTAACATGGCAGATTTAGTTAAAGGAAAAGATCCTTCTCCCTCTTTAATACATAGAAATACTAGATAGGGCACCTTGGTGGCTCAGTCGGTTAAGCATCTGCCTTTAGCTCAGATCATGATCCCAGAGTCCTGGGATCGAGCCCTGCATTGGGCTCCCTGCTCCGCGGGGAGCCTGCTTCTCCCTCTGCCTCTGCCTCTCTGTCTCTCTGTCTCTCATGAATAAATAAATAAAATCTTAAAAAAAAATTAAAGAAATACTAGATAAATTAAAATAAACAACTTTCATTCGTAGCAGAACTCCTTCGTAACAAAGGGGAATCCTCAAGAAGCAGCAACAAAAAATGAGTTTAAAGTCATAGCAGTGCATAAGAACTAAAACCAAAAACCTCACGGGAGTATCAGAACTCAATATGAGCTTTAGGGTCTGGAGTCTAAATACTCACACGGGCAGAAGATGAGGCCTCAGGCCCTGAGAGGAGGGAGCTGTATCTTAGGCCTCCACATAAGGTTGGGAGTCACAAAAAGTCACCTGGTCCATGGTACAGGGGTTTAAAAAAAAACATAGGCCACCAGCTCCAAGACATGGCAGAGAAGCTTATCTTCTCTTTAGATGGCTAGAGAGTCATCTGCAAGTTATTAGAACCTCAAGTTGGCATCCTCTGTGGGAGAGAATTTATTACATCACCAAATGGTGTAAGAATCTTGAGCTGAGAAGTTAACATAAAACCCTGTGGCGTCACATCAAAATCAAACCCGAGAGTATTCCGTAGGCATATCCCCTCATAACACAGGGATCTTGGCCTCCATAGGTAAACACCTTCTACAGATATGAGCTCATAGTTAGAAATTACAAATCACATGAAAAAATCACGAGAAAGAGTTGTCAAATGCAACAAAGAGGTGAAACCAGTATTTCTTTTGGCACCTTTTGGAGTTCTCCAGTGGCAAGGGGTGCATACAGAACAGCCTCTTTGCTCTTGCTTTGGAATCTTCTGATTCAGCTCAGGAAGTCTTTCTATTGGGAGAGGTGAGCAGAACATTTTCCCAAAAGCAGTGAGTGAGTAGCTCCTTAATTGGAAAGATCGGAAAGGCCATTTGGTTGTATAAGATGGAATTTTGCTCTGTAGTAAGTATGTAGGATTCAACTAAAGTCTTAGACAATGAAAAACAATACAAAATACATATGAAGGGGAAATGGAGGAAAGATTAAAGTCCTGCATCCCCATTTTCAAAGCCTGGGTGTAAGGCAGTTTTCTCAGATATAACTGCTGTGGCTGGGTGCTTCCACACCACATCTCTTCCCTGCAGAGGAGAAGCATCTTCACATTCTGATCAACAATGCAGGAGTGATGATGTGTCCCTACTCTAAGACAGCAGATGGCTTTGAGATGCACATGGGAGTCAACCACTTGGGTAAGAAATTTGGTCTCATCCCCAAGCTAGAGGAAGCCTAAAATTCTCCTTGGAAAACTCAGGGGTCAGACTGAGCCAGCCGCCTCTGGGCCCTAATAGACCATAAGTGAATAGTAAATACTATGGTCCTGCCTGAAAGCTCAGAGATAAACTTAGGCCCGCTCAAGCTTCCACCTGCTTTTTAATTTGCAATCCAGATTCAGTTTACCTTGGGGCATTTTTTAACAGCCTAATTGGACTGGGGACTGTGGTGCTTTCTTTGTGGTGATCCTCATGACCAGCATCAGGTAAAGGCTGCCTGTTCTTTCCAATTTTAGTATATGTGCTGCCGAAGCGAGCACAAGGCTGCCTGTTCTTAAAGAGTGATATTAATCAAAGTTGGAAGGAGACAAGACTTCATAGTCACATGATCCAGACCTCCCTCATGGAAGGATGGCTGTCCTATTTCCCCAAACCCTCCCTGAGCTTGTTCTGTAGTTGATAATGAATTAATGAGGCAAACAGCCTTGTTCCTGAGTTCTCTGCAGGGCTCACCATGACTCCCTTCATCCTGGCATTGGCCCTGAACTCTGTTAATTCTAGTTTTTCTCACAGGTCACTTTCTCCTGACCCATCTGCTGCTAGACAAACTGAAGGAATCAGCCCCATCAAGGGTAGTGAATGTGTCTTCTCTAGCACATCACCTGGGAAGGATCCACTTCCATAACCTACAGGGTGAGAAATTCTACAATGCAGGTCTGGCCTACTGTCACAGCAAGTTAGCCAACATTCTCTTCACCCAGGAACTGGCTCGGAGGCTCAAAGGTAGGCTTAGAAGAAGTAAGTATAGAGATATGAGTCAATGGGAAGTAGCGAAAAGCCACAGGAATACATACTGTTTTCTGGAGCCCATTCCCTGGACAAACCTGCTGCCATGACTATAACTGGGTATTATTTTAGTAAATATTCCACAGCTGAATATTGGACGTGGCTGGCAGGAGATGGGGACATTCTGACTTTGAGTCATAAGGCTTGGCTTTAGCACTTACTAGCTGTGTGACCTGCAGCAAGATACTTAACTTTTCAGACTTATTTCCTCATAAGTAAAATGGGACTACTTTATAGGTTATTATCCTCATTAAACCAGGCCTCATGAACAAGCAAGGTTTTTTACTCATAGTGAGACTAGCTAGAAGGGAAGGACCTGGGGGTGCCTGGGTGGCTCAGTCGGTTAAGCGTCTGGCTCTTGGTTTCTGCTCAGGTCATGGTCTCAGGGTTGTGAGATCAAGCCCAAGTTCAGGCTGTGGGCCCAGCGCAGAGATTCTGTCTGAGATTCTCTCCATCCCTCTCCCTCTGTCCCTTTTGTGCATGTGCTCTCTCTCTCTCAAATAAATAAAATCCTTTTTTTTTTTTTAAGATTTTTAAATTTATTTGACAGAGAGAAACACAGCGAGAGAGGGAACACAAGCAGGGGGAGTGGGAGCGGGAGAAGCAGGCTTCCTGCAGAGCAGGGAGCCTGATGCGGGGATCGATCCCAGGACCCTGGGATCATGATCTGAACTGAAGGCAGATACTTAACGACTGAGCCACCCAGGCACCTCTAAATAAAATCTTTAAAAAAAAAGTGGGGGGAGGGACCTGAACTGGCACTAGATACAACCATTAGGATAAAGCAGGCACTGGGACTATGGTGGTGGTGGTGGGGAGGGAGAGTGTCTCCCTAACAGCAAAAGGTTAAATAAGTGAGAAATGTATGCTCGAAGAGGGGAGTCTCCAATCACAAATACACAGAGGTCCTTAGCACTCTCTACTCTGATTTTTCGATAAAAAGAGGGGTAATCCAGGGTGGACAACTGGAGTTGCTTAGCAGTTGAGGCAGGCAGAATTTTGGCTCAAGGAATCAGACATAGGAGCCCCACCATTGGAACAGGATCATCAAACTACATGGAAATTAAATGGGTTACAGAGTGGGTGGGATGAGGCATCTGAGGATGTTAAGGAACATTCCAGGCAGACGGAAGAGAATGCACAAAGGTCTGGGCTCGGTTTGAGTAATTGAGAGGCTGCTATGATTAAAATGTAGAAAGCAAGAGGAATAGAGGTCTGAGCTGAGACGGTGAGGTAGACAGAGGCAAAACCCTTAGAGGCTATGGTAAGGATTTTAGTGGAAGAGCAGTGGAGAACCATTAAAATGAAAGCCTTTTTAAAATGGGGGCAGGAGTGTGTGCAGCAGGTGATTTCTGTAGTCTAGGTGAGAAATGAGGGTGGCCTGGACTAGAGTGGTGGAGATGGAGGGTAGTGGACACTTCTAAGAGATATTTAGGATGAGAAACCCCCAGGGCTTGTTGATGGATATGCATGGTAAGGTGAGGAATTGTCAAGTACTGCTCTGTGTGCCTGCCTGATTGGGAGTTAGGGAACACTGCAAGATCCAGGTTTGGCCTTGAAAGTGTGAAGTTAGTTTTGGACCTCTGTGTCAGCATTACTACGGGTCATCTAGAGTAGATGTCAAGGGACACCTGGGTGGCTCAGTCGGTTAAGCGTCTGCCTTCTGTTCAGGTCATGATCCTAGGGTCCTGGGATCAAGCCCCATGTTGGGCTCCCTGCTCAGCAGGGAGTCTGCTTCTCCATCTCCCTCTACCCGTCCCCCCTCCCCCCGCCTTGCTTGTGTGCAAGTGCGCGCTCTCTCTCTCTTGCTCACTCTCTCTCAAATAAATAAATAAAATCTTAAAAAAAAATAGAGTAGATGCCAAGTTGGAAATAATATATGTCCATTGTCCTTTATCTGCAATCATGAAATCTACAAAGACCTGAAAATTCAATTTTTTCAGAACCTTGACACCAAAGCTCATTTGGCAGCAAAACCTCCCTTGTACTAGGGAGATTAGGTAATAATCAGTTTATATATGTTGTGTCATATTATCTTTCTAAAATCAGTAAAAATTTGGAAACCTCTCTGGCCCCAAGGTTCTAGTAAAGAACCGGGGACCTGACCTAGCATATGCAGAGTGTCATAGTGTCATTTAGCACTTACCATGTACCAGAGACTATCGAGGCTCTCGTACATATGAACTCATTTAATCCTCAGAACCACCTTGTGAGGTGCAGGTATTAGGATTATCCCCATTTTAAGAGGAAACTGAGTCACAGCATCGAGCTTGCCCAGGGTCACAGGGCTTGTGAGTGGTATAGCTAGGATTTGAAAGTGGGCAGTCTGACCACAGAGTCTGTGCCCTTAGCCACTCAGAGTCAGCCAAGAGTTCCAAGGAGTACAATGTGTATAAAAATGTGCATGCCATATAGTTACAGAGAGGGAGTTTAGCAAGCCGTGGGAACGCCAGCATTTGAAGTTTGGGTAGAAGATGAGGGACTGGTCCACGAAACTGAGAGGAAGCGGCAAGAAAGGTTTGGAAAACCAGGAGTGTGGGGTCATGGAAGCCAATAAAAAGGCAGCTTTGAGGAAGGAGTGGTCCCTAGAGTTAAGTGCTGCTGAGAGGTTGAGTCCCGGCTCTACTGTTTCCAAACAGGTTTTTTTTTTTGAAGATTTTATTTATTTATTTGACAGAGAGAGACACAGCGAGAGAGGGAACACAAGCAGGGGGAGTGGGAGAGGGAGAAGCAGGCTTCCTGCTGAGCAGGGAGCCCCATGTGGGGCTCGATCCTAGGACCCTGGGATCATGACCTGAGCCGAAGGCAGACGCTCAATGACTGAGCCACCCAGGCGCCCCTCCAAGCAGTTAATAACCTCTTTGAGCTTTAATCCTAACCTATGAAATGGGGAGGTGTAAATTACTGTGAGGAGTGTTGTGGGAAGGGGGTCTTCCTGGGGTGGGATGTTTATTCATGTCCCCTGCTCTCCTTGGCTATCCAGCAACATTAAGTCCTGCCTTCCTTTCCCTATGGGGCACCCCCAATTAGGCTCTGGCGTTACGACATATTCTGTCCATCCGGGCACAGTCAACTCTGAACTGGTTCGGCACTCATCCTTCATGAAATGGATGTGGTGGCTTTTCTCCTTCTTCATCAAGACCCCTCAGCAGGGAGCGCAGACCAGCCTGTATTGTGCCCTCACCGAAGGTCTTGAGATTCTCAGTGGGCATCATTTCAGGTACGAATGCATCTGGTTTTGAAGATGGGGTTTTTATGGCTCAAAGGAAATAATCTGGATTTGTCTGGTATATTATACTCCTCTTACAAAGTACATTGCGTGACCTAGCTTTTGTCTTTTGACTAGTGTTTTTACCTTGTAATAAGGGGGTTGACTCACTCGCATTTTTCATGGTACTGCGAGGTTTGATTTTCTCCATGGCTATCTTTTATTATGCTTTCTGGTTGTTTCTTTTCTTCCTACCTTTTGTTATGTCCATCTAGTTTTCTTTGTTCCCTTTTGAACTCTTGTTTTTTTTGTTTTTTTGTTTTTTACATGAAAAAATAATTTGAATCTGTATTTCTCTATTGTCTTCGGGACTAAAATAGTATCGATTGACTCCCTTCGTGAATAGGTGAAGACTTTTAAAATTGTTTATTGTAGAGAACTTTGAATATGTACATTAATAGATAAAATAACATGTTGAACCCCCATATGCCCATAATAAAGCCTCAGCAACCATCAAGCCATCCCCATGCACCCATATTTTTTTTCCCTCTCCTATTATTCTGAAGCAAATCTCAGACATCACATAATATTGAAATGTTAGCATGTTTTTACCCCCCACCTTCAAGATTATGTGTAAATAACTTGAAATTTTAGAGAAAGGGCTGTAAATAAATTAAAATTGGAAAGAAAGGTAGACAGATCATGAAAGGCCCATAACTCCAGGCTTGTGAGGAGCCACAGAAGTTGTTCCAGTAGAGAGAGAAATAATCTGCTCTGTGCTTCAGAGAAACATCCCTGGTGACTTGGTTTGATGAACAAATAAATAACCCAAGCGAGAGAGAATGAGTTCCTGATTTAGGGTAATGACAGTTGGAATACAAAGAAGGGTTAAGTGAGAGAGGTCCTGAAGAGGCAGAATTGTTACAGCTTGATGACTAAATGAATGAGGGGTCTGGGAGGAGTTAGTGACCTGGGGTCAAGCCTGACTTACGAGGAGATTGATTATGACATTAACTGAGACAGCAGACATGGAAAAATCATGTGTATAGCTTAGGGTTCTTTGATTCCAAAGCAGGGAAACAGACTCATGCTAACTTAAGCAAGAAGGGAATTTATGAAAATATGGGGGAATTCTTCTAAAAATCAAAGAGAAGACTGAAGAGCCAGGCTTAGAACAGACAGAGTGGCCAGTCAGCTGCTGCTGGAATGAGTATCCGACAACTGTCTTCAGTCTTTGTTTTGTTGCTCACCATTCGCCCTCTAGCAAGGAAGCACTAGATTTTCCATCCTCTCATCCTCACTCCCTTGGTTAGGGGAAGACAGACACTTGATTAATGGGGTCTTCAAAGTGTGGGAAAGAGGTAATTCCTCAGAAAGGGATCAGGTTGCTGTTGCCAAAAGAATGTGGAATGGAGGCACCCGGGTGACTCAGTCGGTTAAGCATCTGACTCTTGATCTCAGCTCAGTCTTAATCCCAGGGTTGTGAGATTGAGCCCTGGATTGGGCTCTACACTGGGTGTGGACACTGCTTGAGACTCTCTCTTTCCCCCCCTCCCTCTGCCCCTTCCTCCCCTTAAAAAAATGTGGAATGGATCAGGTGCCCACTGTGTAATAAACCTGGTTCTGTCCATGTTGAGTGTGTTATCCCTAAGACTCCATGTGAGTAGAAGTGTATAGCAGGGAGTTGGAAATGTAGGTCTGAAATCCAGGAAGATAAGTTTACATAGTTTTATGTACTAGAATGATTTTCCATGGGTGACTGGATTCTTCTTCCCTGGAGATTTTAAGGTTTTGACTAGTAGTTTAAAGAAAGTCAGCCTCGGGGCACCTGGGTGGCTCAGTCGTTAAGCGTCTGCCTTGGGCTCAGGTCATGATCCAGGGTCCTGGGATCGAGCTCCGCTTCGGGCTCCCTGCTCGGTGGGAAGGCTGCTTCTCCCTCTCCTGCTCCCCCTGCTTGTGTTCCCTCTCTCACTGTGTCTCTCTCTCTCTGTCAAATCAATCAGTCAATCAATCAATCAATCAATCTTAAAAAAAAAAGGAAAGTCAGCTTCAAATCCATGACATAGTAATTATTTAATTGACTTTTGAAGGGCCTTTCCAGTGCCATGGATTCTTAATTTTAAGCATTTTGAAGATCCAACATCAGCTATGTTGACCACTATCAGGAAATGAGCATAAGTCTGTCTTGACTGAAGCATTAGAAACCTTGTGCTGCTTATTATTCCTGACTGAAACCACAAACCTACTTTTTGTCTCTATGGATCTGTCTGTACTGGGCATTTCCTATCAATGGAATCATACAATATGTGGCCTTTTGTGACTGGCTTCTTGTTTACTTAGCATAATGTGTTCACTGTCATCCATGCCAGAGCCTGTATCAGTAAGTTATTCCTTTTAATTGCCAAATACTACTTCATCTTATGGGTATACCACATTTTATTTATGCATTCATCAGTTGATGGGCATTTGAGTTATCACTTTTTGGTGATATGATGCTGTGATATTCATGTACAGATTTTTATATGGAGATTTCTCTTGGTTTATATACCTAGAAATGGAATCCCACTGAAATATGGGTTATATGTCAGCTCCGTGTTTAACTGTTGAGGAATTGTCAGACTGTTTTCCCAAGTGGCTGCACCATTTCATGTTGCCACCAGTGGTAGACAAGGGTCCCAATCTCTCCACGCCCTTGCTTACACTTCTTATTGTCTGTCCTTTTGATTTTAGCCATCCTGGTAAGCATGAAGTAATTTTTCTGCTTACGTTTTTCTAGTTTTTCTCATTATGGTTTTCATTTGCATTTTCTTGCTAATGATGTTAAGCATCTTTTCATGCACTTATTGTCCATTTGTTTATCTTTGTTGGAGAAATGTCTATTCAAATCCTTTGCCCATTTTTAAAATGGATCATTGTCTTTTTGTTGTTTAATTGTAACAGTTCTTTAGATAGTCTGGATCAAGTCCCTTATCAGATGTGTGATTTACAAATATTTTCTCCCATTCTTCGGCTTGTCTTTTCATTTTCTTTATGGTGTCTTTTGAAGCAGAGAAGTTTTGATGAAGTCTAACTTACCAATTTTTTCTTTTGTCACTGTGCTTTTGGTGTCATATCTAAGAAACCATTGCCTAACCGAAGGTCACGAAGATTTACTACTGTGTTTTCTTCTAACAATTTTATAATTTGAACATTACATTTTGGTCTATGATTCATTTTGAATTAATTTTTATATATGGCATGAGGTAGGGGTACCTCTTCCTTTTTGCATGTGGATATCCAGTTGTCCCAGAACTGTTTGTTGAAAAAATTATTCTTTCCATTGAATTTTCTTGGTAGCTATATTAAAATTCCTTGGGCTGGGGCACCTGGGTGGCTCAGTTGAGTGTCCAACTCTTGATCTTGGCTCAGGTCTTGATCTCAGGGCTGTGAGTTCAAGCCCCACATTGGGCTCCATGCTGGGCATGGAGCCTACTTAAAAAAAAAAAAAAAATTCCTTAGGCTGCCAAAACAGAATACCAGAAATTAATTTTCTCAGTTCTGGAGAATGGGAGTTAAGATCAAGGTGCCAGCAGGGTTGGTTTCTGATGAGGCCTCTGTCTTGGCTTATAGAGGGCTGCCTTCTTGCTGTGTCCTCAGATGGGTTTTCCTCTATGTGGGCACACTCCTGGTGTCTTCTCTTCTTATAAGGACACTAGACCTATTGAATTAGGGCCCTACCTTTATGACCTTACTTAACCTTAATTATCTCCTTAAAAGCCTGATCTCCAACTATAGTCACATTATAGATTCAACATACGGACTTTGGGGAACGTGATTCAGTCCGTAACAGATTTATCAAAAATCAATTGACCATAAAGGTAAGGGTACCTCTACACTTTTAGTTCTGTTCTATGCATTTATATGTCTATCCTTATGCCAGTAGCACGGTGTCTTGATTACTATGGCTTTGTAGTAAGTTTTGAAATTGGTCTTTTTATGTATACTGGTTGATACTTCCCAAAATCCAACTGGGACTATCAGCACCATGACTGCTGATGCCATAACCACATGTAAGTAGCTTTTACTGTGGTATTCGAATACATTTTACACCATGTCATAGCTTATGATGCAAGGCACTTTCATGTCCATTGTGTCATTTGCTATTCATCGTAATCTTGCGAAGAACATAAGGCATAATGCTGTAAAGGCTACAGAGGCTTACAGAGGCCAACTCATTTCTAGAGTCTTACGGAGCCTTTGGTTCTCAGTGATGGTCTTTTTACTCAGCAGTGGCAGGTTGTGCTGCTCATGCTGGTAAGTTCCCTTAAACAGAAGTACTATACTTACCAGTCTTGTTTTGTAATTGCAAAGATATCTTTAAGTGGTGTTTCTCAAACTTTGGTGCATTTTAGAACCATCTGAGGAAGTGGTTGAAGACATATTCCTGGACCTCTACCCTAGAGATTCTGATTCAGCAGGTTCAGATGGGGCCTGAGAATTGGCATTTATTTATTTTTTCTTTAAAGATTTTATTTATTTATTTGACAGAGAGAGACACAGCGAGAGAGAGAACACAAGCAGGGGGAGTAGGAGAGGGAGAAGCAGGCTTCCCGCGGAGCAGGGAGCCCGATGCGGGGCTCGATCCCAGGACCCCAGGATCATGACCTGAGCCAAAGGCAGACACTTAATGACTGAGCCACCCAATCACCCCAGAATTGGCATTTCTAACAAACTCCCAGATGATGCTCCTGCTAGTCCATAACCTGCTCTTTGATTAGCAGCATCTTTATGGATGTAGTGTTAGGGTTTGCTTCATGTGCTTATTTCAGACTTGCCAACTTTCCTTTCCACCTTCAGAATTTGCTTAGAATGTCCTGGAAGCAGTTCTCTTGAAATAGTATATAACTTTTTAAATTGCTTCTTACGTGCCTTAAAAGATTGCAATCGGTTTACTCAATCACTTTTCAAAAAACCCTTTATTGAATACCTGCTGTGTACTAGATGCAGCTAATTCAAAAATGATAAAATTTTCTGGGCAGTGCAGTGTTTGAATACCCCTCCTGCATTTAATGGGGACTAAAATAATTGGGATTACAGCAATGAAGGGAAGGTGTATGAAACATACAGTACCTTATTGTTACATTTCTTTTATGCTATCATCTTTTCCTTCATTGTTTATGAAGCTGGCTTTCTTATTTGAGTTTAAAAACAGTTATAATTTGGGGGTGCCTGGGTGGTGCAGTTGGTTAAGTGTCCAACTCGGTTTCGGCTCAGGTCGTGATCTCAGGGTCATGAGTTTGAGCCCCACATCAGGCTTCACGCTCAGTGGGGAGTCTGCTTGCGATTCTCTCTCTCCCTCTCCCTCTGCCTCTCCCCTGGTGTGCACTCTTTCTCTCTCAAAAATAAATAAATCTTAAAAAGAATTAAAAAACAAAAAGTTATAATTGCAGGTAGACCTGAAATAGTAAGTTTTGGGGGTGGTTTTGTTTGTTTTTACCACTCCAAGCACCTGTAACCAATGTAATCTCAGCAGCATGACACTGTACAAGGTCCTGTGTGAACAGGCTGGACATACACAGGTGTCAGGCGGGCACTGATACTATAGTTAAATATATACATACAAAGGGGAATATAAAGACTGATTGCTATGTATTATATATCAGACATTCTGGTCAGAGGGAGTATAGTGAGGAGATCTAAATGGTAAATACATTTTCTCTGGGGTAAGGATTGGAGAATGAAGAGATAAAGGCTGGCCCTATGAAGTGCATAGAGGACATGTCATCCCTACGTTGTTTTTCTGTCACATTCCTTGTTCCAGGCAGAGAATAGATTCCACTCATAAACCTCTGTGTTTTAAGCCTCTCTCTTTCCCTTCTAGTGACTGCAGGGTGGCATGGGTCTCTGCCCAGGCTCGGAATGAGACAACAGCAAGGCGGCTATGGGACGTCAGCTGTGACCTGCTGGGCATCCCTATGGACTGACAGGTGGTAGCAGGTGGACTCAAGAGAAATCCGCAGCAGACTACTCAGTACTCCCTGCCAAAATGATTCTCCTTCATAACGGCCAAAACCTTGAGCACAAAGAAAACAAACCTTCCAGCCTTTCCTGCTTGATGTCTGATAAAAGCCCAGTGTAACTGCTAGATTCATCAAAACACGTTGCATTAGTCCAGATTGATTTTGCTCTTGTTACTGCCAGACGTACAAGAGGTATCATAGGATAAGATCTTCATATGACCTGCAAACTCATATTCGCCTTCTGAAACCTACTACCTAGGAGAATCTTAGCTATGGCAGTGTCAATTTATGGCAGTTTGGATTAGTTTCTACCCTCTTTGTTCACAATATAGTTCCTCCCAACCACCAACCAACTTTCATTTCAAGAGAACCACACTGCAGCCCCAGCTGAACTCCCAGAATCAACGGTGGCTTGGCTTAAGAGCAGGGCTCATCCCTCATATGCCAACATCTGGATTCTCTCAGGAAGCTCTTAACTGAATCTGGATTATGGGATGGGCTTTATCTTCAGCAACCTAAAGCCACTTTAAGACACTTTTACATGTCGACCACAGAAGAGCTTCCTTTTCTAGGAAGTTCATGGGGTTGGGAGGATGGCAGAAATATGGAGGAAAGCAGAAATAAAAATCAAGTTTAAACTGTCATTTTCCTACTGTTTCTCAGGCCAGCAAGTGGGTAAAGAAAGGAGCAGTACAGGAAGATAGATCACTGCCTGACTTCAGTTTACTGACCCCAGACCCATGGAGGCCTTTTTGTGCCTTAGTTTCTCTTAGAAAATCAGAAGAAGGGAAAGGCGAGTGATTGTCACTGAGTATATCTTTGTGTGTGTTCTTATGTAGTTATGCAATTGGGATTATTTTTACAAAATTCAAAGTAGCTACAAAGGAACAGTATTAAACTGGACCCTGGCGCAGGTAAGTGTTCAAAGATGGAGAAAAGAGTGTGATCCAATCTTTAATACAAATGAGTGGAGCTACAAAGGGAAACAGATTGTGTATATGTGGATAACTACTCACCAAGAAGCACATGAGTAGAAGGGAAGAAGCCCAAAAAAGAGAAGAATCCTGGAAGATAATGCATACAGTGAAGGGCCAGTTAAGGATTAAAAAAACAAAACAAAACAAAAAACAGCTAAAGATGGCAATATGTAACTATAGAAGAATTGAAGGTGAGCACCTGAGTTAGCAAGGCTGATACTGCACTGTCTTAACAAGCACCAATCAATCAAGGGGGCAGAAAAAGACCCCCAAAAAACCCAATTCTTTATAAGGCAAAATTATCCTAAGGACTGATATTGGTAATTTATAGTCAATTTAATAATCTTCAGGGCATTTCCTGACATTATCTTGACAAGATTAAAATGTCTATTTGCTAAAAACCTACATTTAATTTGGAGAACTCTTATCAAAGGTAATGCTGACATAGGAAATTGGAGGAATCAGTAATGTTCCCATCACTTGTTTGGAGTATGTTATTCTAATAGTTTGTGATTACCTTGGACTGACAATTACATATTCACTTTGGTGGGGGAAAGAGTTATAGGACCACAGTCTTCTCATATTTGTAAATGCATATTCTTTTGTTGCACTTGTTTTTACTATTAAGGTATCTAATTTAGAAATGGTCGTTTTATGGAAAAATTGGAAAATTTTAATAATAGTTAAGTAGCATAATTGAACTCATATTTTACTTAATTTATGTTGAACTGTCAATAACAGAAAGTTTTGGATTATTATGTTTTTATTTACCAAAATAAAAACTGTATTAAATGAAAGTTTAGAGTCAACGGAAGAAAACAATTAAATGAAAGTTTAATTATAAGAAGAAAACACTTTTCATTATTATGGTTATACAATCACTTCTCATTTTTAAGGATAATTTGTCCCAGAGTCTAGCCACAGTACAGCCTCAATCAGATGTTATAACTTCAATTGTGTGATAATGTGATTGTTGATTCACCATTTTTCTCCTTGTCTTTTATGATGCTGTTCAAAGATCCCTTTTTTCCATCCGAGGCTATTACGTCTCCTTTTTGTACCTGCCCCTTCTATAACAATGCTGTGGGTCTTATCACAGTACACTTCCACTAACAACCTCAGATTTTGCTATCTCTGTACTCAGTGAACATTAGGAGCGCAACGCTTGTTGAATCAGGGGTCAATGAATCAGTCTAATAAAAATAAAGGTCCAGGAGATATAAATCACATCATTTCCCCCTGAACAATCATGTATCTTTTAATATGTTTGGGCAGTTTTATATATTGGGCTGCCAAGCAAATATTTCAGAAAAGGCTTCGATAGGAAAATCATTTCATAAGTTGAAAATAAGAATTTCCCGCCACTGAACCATGAAACCCCATGTAGTGCAGAAAAGGACTTCGTAATTGTCAACACATTACACACAGTGGGAAAGAGACCTGAAGACGCCGGGTCTGCCTTGCTCACCACATTTTAAAATAACCCAGCGCAGGGTGGCTCTTTTATTCGCCAACATAGGCCCATATCCGGCATGATGACTACGTGTAACATTAACAAAGACCTGCTGAGTGAATGAATGCACTAGGCGAGCCCAGACGCTAGAGGCGGAGTGGGTATTTTGGGAGTCACACTGGGGACCATTTCTGAAAGCATATGACCCTGGTCACTTGACTTCCCCAGTAAAAGTGCTTTACTGCTCCAGGGTAAGCTGGAACCTGGCCCGGCTATCTTTCGAGGGCTGAAAGCTAACGTTTAGTCAGGACGCGAACTGAGGAGGTCAGAGCGGTCATACAGTGCGATGACATCGAAGATGACTTCCAGGCGCTTACTGACACCAAACTACAGGGTGTCAGCACTACCCACTGCGGCTGTGGCATTGACAGAACCACCGCCCCCGCCGACACATGACTCCGGCGTCCCGGCGTCTTCCGCGCCGAACTACAGCTCCCGGCATGCACTGCTGTTTCCCCCCCTCCCACCGCCGCCGGGAGGTGGGGCCCTGGGGGACAGGTCGGCGGGCTGCCGGTCCCGCGGGACCTCACAGTCCCTTCCGCTGTGGCTCTCTCGCCAACCCTGGACCGGGTATTTCCGGGGCTCCAGGACTGCCGCTCGTTCCGCGTGCTGCCACCCTTTTAGGAATCGCCCGGGCCGGCAGCCCACCCGACTTTCCGTCAGGCTTCCGCGCCCGGCGCTCCCTCAGTGACGGAATGAAGGGGCTGGGCGTTCTGGCTCGGGAGGACCCCGCCGCGGCCCCGGAAGCGCCTCGTCCCGGGTGGTGGTGGCGGCGGTCGCCGTGATGTCTGCGGGGCTGGGTGGCTGACCGCCGGGATAGGAGCGGCACCGGTGCCCCAGATCTCGGTGGCCGCTGCTGGAGCACGGCCGGCGCCATGGCCGCCTCTGCCATCTCCTCAGAGCATTTCGAGAAACTTCACGAGATCTTCCGCGGCCTCCATGAAGACCTGCGAGGGGTGCCGGAGCGGCTCCTGGGGATGGCAGGGACAGGTGAGGCGAAGGCGGGACGAGCCGTGGGGAACTCGGCCCCGCGCGTGCCTAGGGAGTAAGAACCCCCCACCCTTCTCCTGAACCGGGTCCCTCTTCCCCTCCGATGCATGTTCTCAGACACGCCCCCTAGGGTTGGGTGGGTCTCGGCGCTCCAGATTTCCCTGCTGCCACTTGAGGGTGCTCCGGGATGAACCTCTGAGTGTTGTCTCCTAGGGGTTCTCCCTCTAGATCCTACTGTAGCCGTCAAAAATTTCTTGTCTCATTTTCACCGTGGCAAGAAGAGCATAGGAGACCTTAAATCTGAGGCCCTATATTTCAGTAAAATTGGCTTTTTTCATAACTGCCTGTATATTTTGTTTTATGCATTTAAAAGCATTCTCAAGAGAAGTCCATAGTTCTTACCAGACTGGCAAAGGATTTGTAGCACCAAAAGGGCTAAGAAGCCAAAGGAAAAACAACTTTGGGATTGGTAAATTACCAGGTTTGGGGAGGGGGTGGTCTTTAAAATCGGGATTGTGAGTTCACGTGTGGTCCTCTTATGAATTTTTTTATGCTTAGACTGTTTTCTGTCCCTTGATTTCAAAATTCAGGTTGCTGCAAGCTTTGCCTGGAGGAGTTAGTTTTCCAATTAAATCTCTAGGAAGACCTGCAGGTTCTTTGCCACTCAGAACAAATAGATCTTGATGTCAAGGCTGATAAGACTTTGTTTTGTTGTTTCTACTTAAGGGTCAGAGCTTGAGTGTTTGCTCCGCGAGTTTCCTGGTCATGTGAGTTGAATGACTCTGATGAGAATGCCAGAGAATGTTAAACATATTGAGAGAGACTGCTGTGTTCCAGGCACTGACCTAAATGCTGGTAATATTGCAAATTATTGCAGTGAGGAGACTTACAAATCCTTGTTCTAGTGGGTTGATGATGATGTATAAATATTAAGGGGAAAGTAATGCAGGGCAAAGGAATGCAAGGGAGGACTCTAAAATAGGGTGGCTGTGAAAGGCTTCTTTGAGAAGGTGGCATTTGAGCAAAGACTTGGATGAATTAAGATAGTAAACCATGTGAAAATTTGGGAGAAGTGAGTCTGAGGAGGACAGAATAGCATTGCAAAGGTCCTTAAGCTGGTATGAGCTTGGTGGGTTCTGGAAAGAGCAAGAAGGCCAATGTGAAATGAGCAAAGGAGACAATGGTAGCAGATGAGGCTACAAAGAGGTAGGCAGGGCCAGATCACATGTGGACTTACAGACCCTAGTGAAAGATTCGCACTTTTTTCTAAATGTGATGGGATGCACTTAACAGGGTATTAAATCTTTTTTAATTTACTCATTTGATGCAGAGAGATACAGAGAGAGAGCATGAGCAGGGAGAGAGGGAGAGGGAGAAGCGGACTCCCTGCTGATCCGGGAGTCCGATGTGGGGTTCAATCCCAGAACCCTGGGATCATGACCTACCTGAGCCAAAGGCAGACACTTAACCATCTAGCCACCCAGGCGCCCCACTTAACAGGGTATTGAGCAAGAGAGTGATGGGATCTGATTTACATGGTTGAAAAATAGACTATTTTTTCAGCTTGTTGCTGAATTAAATTTTGCAGTGTTCATTTCTGGAAGAGTAAATATTGCAAAAGGGTATTCCATTTTGAAAAATAGAAAACTGAGTTATGTTCACTTTTATCACCTACCTGACCTTCTCATTGCTGCAATGAGGTATGAATATCTACCCAAGCGCAAAATACTCTTAATACAAGTTGCTGGAAACAGACTTCGTTGTTTAATGGGTAAGTAAATACAGTGTACACATAGCCATAGGTTACAATAAGAATTTCAACAGCTTTCAATCTCTGCTCACTACTTTGTTCATGCTGTTCAATAAATATTTGTTGAATAAATTGAATTTAGCTGAGCAAACATACAGTGCCTCATCTCTGAATCCTTTTTTTCTAATTCTGAGATTACTTCGTACACTTTCCAGAATTTTAATTTCCATCACGGAATTCTTAGGTTCTGAGTAATGTACATAACACAGCTCTTGCATTTAGCTTATGCTCTGTAATTGAACCAATCAGTTTTTAATAAATATTTAAGAATTATTATGTATCAGTCACTGTCCTGGGCCCTGAGGAGTTTCAAGAGTTCTTGCCTTAAATGGGACCATATTTACAACAAAGTTTGTGATTGGTCCTAAGATAGTTTTGAGACCATAAAGAAAAGGCTTTCTTGGGTGTTAGGGGAAGGAAGTTTTGCAGAAAGGAGAACTGAGTATCAGGGGTTCGGTGGGAGTTTGCCAGACAGAGGGGAAATGGGAAGAAGGAACAACAGAATAAAAAGTTGAATACTCACAACCATGACTGAAGCTTAGGGTATGTGTGGGAGGATAATACTAGATGAGCAAAGTGAGACACAGCCAGATTGTGAAGGGACCTGTATATCTCATTAAGACATTTGGGCTTCTCACAAAGTACTTGACATATAAAAAGTACTCAACAAAAAGTTTTATTATTCTGTCAAATATTTATTGAGCACCTGTTATGCAGCATTCCCTGAGCTAAGCGCAGAAATACAGTAGTCAAAGACACAGTCTTTGCTCCTATGAAATGTTCAGTGCAGAAGAGAAAACTTAAAGCAAATATTTGTTTAACTTTCATTCATCAAATATTCGCTGACTATTTACGGTAGGTCAAAAGCAAATAATTACCCAAGTATCTTTCTGTATATAGTTGTGATCATTGTTCTGGATAAACAAAGTACCTATATGAAAAAAAAGACATTTGGGCTTGATATGAAGAATCAGTATAAGAATTTTAAGCAGCCAACTAATACGGTCAGATTTTATTTTACAGGGAGAATGCTGGTGGCTGAATAGAGGATGAAGGAGAGGCATAAGACTCTGGATACAGTGGACCATGTTAGGAGCCTTTGTGGCAACTGTCTGGGTAACATGGGAATGTAGAGAGTCCTAAATCCAATTTCTGAGGCAGAAATTAACCAGGCTAATTGGACATGGGGAGTAAGAGAGAAAGATTCAAGGGTGTCTGCATTTTCTCACTTGGTCATTTGAGTGGGTGATAAACTTAAACAAGAAATATAAAAGAAACAGGCTTATTTGAAAGCATCAGGGTGCTTATAGAATAGAGAGCATAATGTATATCCAGTCTAGCCTGACAAAGTATTTCTTCTCTTGCCATTAAAAATACCATTTATGAAGAAGATATTATGTGATTTGAGAGGCAATATACTATAATATTTAACAGCAAGGATTCTAGAAACAGACTGCCTGGGTTCAAATCCTGGATCCATCTCTTAGTAGCTATGTGACCTTGGACAACTTACTTCAGCCTAACTAGTTTCTCTCTGCAAAATGAGGGTAAATCATAGTATTTATTTCATAGGGGTTTTGTGAGGATTAAATTAATATATGTAAAGCCCTTAGAATACTGCCTGACAAGAGCCATTTGCCATTGTTACTCTTGTTTGAGAAATTGGATATTTTATTTAAATAAAACAATACCAGCTTTGTATGCAGCTATTATGTTGCTCTACTTTTGCTCTTTTCCTAGAGCACTTATCTTCTAACATACTAGACACTTTACGTATTTCTGATGTTTATAGTATATTATTTGTCTACCTTTCACTAGAACAGTGGTTTTCAAAGTGTGATCCCTGAAACACTAGGAACTGGAACTCTAGAAACGCAAATTATTGGGTCCCATCCAAGGTTTACTGAATTATTAACTGTTTTAACATCCATCCAGGGGATTTCTGATTCATGTCAAGTTTGAAAGCAACTGAGCAAAAACCAAGCTCTATGTTTTCTCCACATCCTTGTTAGCACTTGTTATTTCTTGTCTTTTGATAATAGCCATCCTCTAACAGGTGTGAGGTGGTATCTCATTGTGATTTGATTTGCATTTCTCTGATGATTGTGATGTTGAGTACCTTTTTTTGTACTGTTGGCCATCTGTATGACTTCTTTGGAAAAAATGTTTATACAGATCTTCCACCCATTTTTTAGTCAGATTGTTTGGGGTTTTTTTCTCTTGAGTTGTATGAATTATTTATATATTTTGGATGTTAATCCATTATCAGATATATGATTTGCAAATCTTTTCTCCCATTTGGTAAATTGCCTTTTTATTTTGTTGTTGGTTTCCTCTGCTGTGCAGAAGCTTTTTAGTTTGATGTAGTCCCACTTGTTTATTTTTGCTTTTGTTACCTTTTGGTTGTCAAATCTAAAAAAAATCATCACCAAGACTGATGTCGAGGAACTCTTGTGTTTTCTTCTAGGAGTTTTATGGTTTCAGGTCTTACAGTCAAGTCTTAGGTCCATTTTGAGTTAATTTTTGTATATGGTGTAAGATAGTGATCCGTTTCTAATCTTTTGCATTTTTCTGTAAAGTTTTGTCAAAACCGTTTATTGAAGAGATTGTATTTTCCTGTGAGGTAACAAATATATATAGATATATTGGTCTCTGTCCCTGGTTCCTGCACAGAGGTCCTAAGATCCTTGTAATTTCCTAAATGATAAGAACACTAGGAGCATCTTTTGTTCTAATGAGATGACTCTGGATGGCCTCCTAGATGGGGACTGGTCACCAGAACAACCCGTGATGAGAAGCTTGGATTTTCAGCCCTACCCCTTGTCCTCCAGGGAGGGAAGAGGAGGTGAAAATGGAGCTACTAATTGATCATGCCTTTGAGAGGAAGCCTTCATAAAATCCCAGTAGTATATGGGGTTCAGGGAGCTTCCAGGTGGATGAACATATCCATACCCGGAGGGTGATGCACCCCAACTCCACAGGAACAGAAGCTCCTGCACTCAGGACCCTCCCAGACCTCACCCTGTGTATCTCTTTATCTGGTTGTTCATCTGTATTCTTTATCATAACCCTTAATAAATTGGTAAATGTTAAGTAAGCATTTCCCTGAATTCTGTGAGCATATCTTACAAGTTAATTGAACCTGAGGAAAGGGTCCTAAGAACTGTCAATTTGTAGCCAAATTGGACAGACATTGTGGGTAACCTGGGGACCTACTACTTGTGACTGACATTTAAAGTGTGTGTTTGGGGTGGGGGGCAGTCTTGTGACTGAGCCTTTAACCTGTGGAATCTGATGCTGTCTTCATGTAGATAGTGTCTGAATTGAGTTGAACTATGGACACCCAGTTGGTGTTGCAGAGAATTGTTTGGTGTGGAGAAAAACTTTCATACATTTGGTGACCAGAAGTGACGTGTTCTGTATGAGTAGTAAAGGAGAAACACAAGAAACACACACACACAGGAGGAAGGACTGGATTTTTCTCTATAGAGGAGAGAAAGACACAGGAGGGGGAAAGACTGAGTTTTCCTAATATAGTTGCCCATTGTATATTCTTGACTCCTTTACTGTAAGTTAATTGACCGTGTGTGTATGTTTATTTCTGGGCTCTGTATTCTGTTCCATTGATTTTTGCATCTGTTTTTATGCCAGTACCATACTGTTCTGATTACTGTGGCTTTGTAATATCAGGAAGCATGATACTTCCAGCTTTGTTCCAATTGGGGTCTTTTGTGGTTCCATACAAATTTTTGGATTGATTGTTCTATTTCTGTGAGAAATGCTGTTGGGATTTTGATAGGTATTGCAGTCTGTAGATCGTTTTGGGTAGTATGGACCTTTTAACAGTACTAATTTTTCCGATCCATTAGCATGGAATATCTTGACGCTGATTTGTGTCTTCAGTTTCTTTCATCAGTGTCTTGTCGTTTTCAGAGTACATGTCTTTAAGTTCCTTGGTTAAATTTAGTGTTTTATTCTTTTTCTTTTTAAGATTTTATTTATTTATTTATTTGAGAGAGAGAGTGAGCGAGAGAGAGAACAAAACAGGGGGAGAGGGAGAGGGAGAGGCAGACTCCCCACTAAGCAGGGAGCCCGATGTGATGCGGGGCTGATCCCAGGCCTCCAGGATCATGACCTGAGCCAAAGCCAGACCCTTAATCAGCTGAGCCACCCAAGCTCCCTAGTGTTTTATTCTTTTTGTTGCAGTTGTAAATGGCATTGTTTTCTTAATTTCTCCTTCTGATAGTTTATTGTTAGTGTATAGAAATCCAATCAATGGGGGCGCCTGGGTGACTCAGTCATTAAATGTCTGCCTTCGGCTCAGGTCATGATCTCAGGGTCCTGGGATTGAGCCCTGCATCATGCTCCCTGCTCAGTGGAAAGCCTGCTTCTCCCTCTCCTACTCCCCCTGCTTGTGTTCCCTCTCTCGCTGTGTCTCTCTCTGTCAAATAAATAAATCATTAAAAAAAAAAATGCAATCAATGTATGTATATTGATCTGCAGCTTTACTGAATTTGTTTATTAAGTCTAACAGTTTTTTTGGTGGCATCTTTAAGGTTTTCTATGTATGATATGCCATCTACAAATAGTGATGGAATTTACTTCTTCCTTTCCAATTTGGATGCCTTTCATTTCTTTTTCTTGCTAATTGCTCTGGCTAGGACTTCAATACTATGTTGAATAAAAATGGTGAGAGTGGGCATCCTTGTCTTGTTCTGGATCATAGAGGGAAACCTTTGAACTTTATACTCACCAGTTAGCTGTGGGATTGTCAGATATGGCCTTTATTTTGTTGATGTGTGTTCCTTCTGTATCCAGTTTGTTGAGATTTTGTATAAGTGGATGTTGAATTTTGTCAAATTCAAAAAGCAAATAGATGTTTTTTCTCCATCTGTTGAGCTGATCATATGATTTTTATCCTTCATTTTGTTAATGTGGTATATCGTGTTGATTTGTGTATACTGAACCATCCATGCATCCCTGGAGTAAATCCCACTTGATCATGATGTATGATCCTTTAATGTATTATTGAATTTGGTTTGATAATAATTTTGTTGAGGATTTTTGCATCTGTGTTCATCAGGGATATTGGCCTTTAGTTTTTTTGGTGTCCTTGTCTTGTTTTGGTATTGCCATAATGCTGACCTCATAAAAGTTTGGAAGTGTTCCCTTATCTATCACAAGCTCTATCTTTTGTCTGTCTTGTTTATGATGTATCCTAAGCACCTGGAATAATAGTGCCTCATATAGACTAGGTGTTCCATAAATATTTGTTGAATGCTTGTATAAATACCCTGAATTATTAGGGAGAAACTATTAATAATATATGACTGGGTGTTGAAACTGAGTGTAATTTTATTTTTATTCTACCATGTTTTCCACATTTTTATCACTTTTTAAATTTTTAAAAAAGATTTATTTGTTTATTTTAGAGAGAGTTTGCGTGCAGGGGGAAGGATAGAGAGAATCTTGAGCAGACCCCACGCTGAACGCAGAGCCCAGGGCATGGCTCAGTCCCAGAACCCTGAGGATCACGACCTGAGCTGAAACTAAGAGTCAGTTGCCTAACCGACTGCACCACCGAGGCACCCCTTCATCACTTTTAAAATGGGTATCTACACCTATTAAAACAAAGGGTAGGATAACAGACAGAATGTGTCCCTTTTTTAGGAAGTTTGTATGGCAGTAACAATCTGTTAGCATATGTGATTATTAATCCATTTAATATTATAATAAGCACAGCCGTAATTTCTAGGTTTTTTTTTTTTCATAATTTCTAGTTTTAATTTTGCAGCATCTGAAGAGGTCTCTCCAGATACCTCAGAATGCTGTAAATTATTATCCAGATAATACAATAAATGCCTATCATCATGTTCAAGTTTTGGGTTTTATAGCAACTGTGAAGGAAGCTCCAAATGTGTTAATGAGTGTTGTAAAATTATTGAAAGCTTTCCATTTTAATTCACTCAAATTTTAGTATGTGTCTACGGGACCCCATTATTTTGGGAACCAGCAAAAATAATCACCATGGGTAATCATATGCAGCTGGTTGGTAAACACCAATTACTCATTGACTGAAGAATTAATTTTTCTAACACTCTTCATATTCTTCGGTGAATTTTGTTTTTGCTCGTAGTTCTTTCCCATCTAAGGATTTACTTTAAAAAATAAAGATAGTTACTATTTATGAAACTTTTAATATGCCTGGCATTTACTAAGTGCTTATTATGTGTGTTATCTTTTAACCCTTTCAGACAACCCTGCAAGGTCAGTACTGTTATATTTCTTACAGATAAGGAAACAGGGGTCTAATACAGGCATATCTTGTTTTATTGCACTTCACTTCATTGTGCCTCTCAAATATTGCATTTTTTACAAATTGAAGCTTTGTATCAACCCTGTGTTGAGCAAATTTATTAGCACCATTATTCCAACAGCCCTTGGTCACTTCATGTCTCTCACATTCTCATGATACTTCAAACAAATTAGACCAATTAATAACCCTACATTGGCCTCTTAGTGTTCAAATGAAAGGAAGAGTTGCACATATCTCACTTTAAATCAAAAGCTCAAAATGATCAAGCTTAGTGAGGAAGCCATATTGAAAGCTGAGATAGGCCAAAAACTTAGGCCTCTTGACCAGAGAGTTAACCAAGTTGGGAATGCAGGGAAGGGCTTTGAAGGAAATTAAAAGTGCTGCTCCTGTGAACACACAAATGATAAGCAAGCAAAACAGCTTTATTGCTGATATGGAGAAAGTTTTAGTGATCTGAATAGATCAGACTAGCCACAACCTTATCTTAAGCCAAAGCCTAATCCAGAGCAAGGCCCTAACTCTTCAGTTCTGTGAAGGCTGAGACAGGTGAAGAAGCTGCAGAAGAAAAGTCTGAAACTAGCAGGGTTGGTTCATGTGGTTTAAGGAAAGAAGCCATCTCCATAACATCAAAGTGCATGGTGAAGTCCGCTAGTGCTGATGTAAAAGCTACAGCAAGTTATCCAGAAGATCTAGCTAAGATAATTAGTGAAGGTGGCTGCACTAAACAACAGATTTTCAGTGTAGACAAAATAGCCATCTAGGATTTTCATAGCTAGAGAGGAGAAGTCAATGCCTGGCTTCAAAGCCTCAAAGGACAGGCTGACTGCCTTGTTAAGGGCTAATGTAGATCATGACTTTAAGTTGAAGCCAATGCTCATGGACCATTCCAGAAATACTAGGGCCTTTAAGAATTATGCTAAATCTATTCTGCCTGTGCTCTATAAATGGGACAGCAAAGCCTAGGTGACAGCACATCTGTCTACAGCATGGTTTACTGAATATTTTAAACCCACTGTTGAGACCTGCTGCTCAGAAAAATGGACTCTTCAAAATATTACTGCTCATTAATAGGGTACATGGTCACCCAGGAGCTCTCTGATGGAGAAGTATGATGAGATTAATGTTGTTTTCATGCCTGCTAATACAACATCCATTCTGCAGCCCCATGGATCAAGAAGTAACTTTGAGGGCTCCTGGGTGACTCAGTCGGTTAAGCGACTGCCTTCGGCTCAGGTCATGATCCTGGAGTCCCGGGATCCAGTCCCGCATCGGGCTCCCTGCTCGGCAGGGAGTCTGCTTCTCCCTCTGACCCTCCTCCCTCTCATGTGCTCTCTCTCATTCTCTCTCTCACAAATAAATAAATAAAATCTTAAAAAAAAAAAAAAAGAAGTAACTTTGATTTTCAAGTCTTATTATTTAAGAGGTACAGGGGTGCCTGGATGGCACAGTCAGTTAAGTGTCTGACTCTTGGTTTTGGCTCAGGTTGTGATCACAGGGTTGTGGGATCGAGCCCTGCGTCAGTCTCTGCACTCAGCGCAGAGTCTGCTTAAAATTCTCTCTCTTCTCAGACACTTAAAAGCATAGGAAACAAACTGAGGGTTGCTGGAGGGGAGAGGGATGGGGGGGATGTGGTAACTGGATGATGGACATTAAGGAGGGCATGTGATGTAATGAGCACTGGGTGTTATATAAGACATACATCACTGACCTCTCCCTCTGAAACCAGTAATACATTATATGTTAATTGAATTTAAAGATTTTATTTATTTGAGAGAGAGAGAGAGCACAAGCAGAGGGAAGAGGCAGAGGGAGAAGCAGGCTCCCTGCTGAGCAGGGAGCCCAATGCGGGACTCAGTCCCAGGACCCTGGGATCATGACCTGAGCTGACTGACAGATGCTTAACCAACTGAGCCACCCAGGCTGAATTTAAATTCAATTAATTGAATTTAAATAAAAATAAATAAAATTTTTCAAAAATCTCTGTTCTCCCTTTGCCCCTCCCCCATGCGCGCGCACGCTCTCTCTCTCTCTCTCTCTCTCTCAAAATAAATAAATCTTTTAAAAAAAAATACATTCCATTAAGTCTGTAGCTGCCATAGATAATGATTCCTTTGACATATCTGAGCATAGTAAATTGAAAACCTTCTGGAAAAGATTCACCATTCTTGATGCCATTAAGAACATTCATGATTCAAAGGAAGAGGTAAAAATACCAACTTTCATGGGAGTTTTGAAGAAGTTGATTTTAACCCTCATGGATGACTTTGAGGGGTTTGAGACTTCAGTGAAGGACGTAACTGCAAATATGATGGAAATAGCAAGAGAACTGGAATTAGAAGTGGAGCCTGAAGATGGGACTGAATTGCTGCGGTCTCGTGATAAAATTTTAACTGATGAGGAGCTGCTGCTTATGGATGAGCAAAGAAAGTGGTTTCTTGAGATGAAATCTTCTGGTGAAGATGCTGGGAAGATTGTTGAAATGACAGCAAAGGATTTAGGATATTACATAAACTTAGTTGATAAAGCAGTGCAGGACATGAGAAGATTGACTCCAGTTTTGAAAGAAATTCTGTGGGTGAAATGCTATCAAACAGCTTCACATGCTACTGAGAAATTGTGAAAGGAAGAGTCCATCAGTGCAGCAAATTTCATTGTTGTCTTATTTTAAGAAATTGCCACAGCACCCTAACCTTCAGCAGCCACCACCCTGATCAGTCAGCAGCCATCAACATCAAGACAAGACCCTCTACCAATGAAAAGATTATGACTCACTGAAACTTCAGATGTTAATTAGCATTTTTCAGCTGTAAAATATTTTTAAATTAAGGTTGTACATTTTTTTTAGACATAATGCTATCACACAATAGAGTACAGTAGAGTGTAAACATAACTTTTATATGCATGGAGAAACCAAAAATATTCATTTGACTTACTTTATTGTGTCACTCACTGTGGTGGTCTGGAACCAAACCTGCAGTATTTCCAGGGTGTGCCTGTGCTTTTTACCTTCTTACATAGTATGAGATCAGGTGAACTCTTGTGGTCTACAAATAGAGGATGTAGGTCCTAGAAATGCCACAGTGGGGCACCAAAAGCAAATTAACCATATGATCCTGGTGAAACTGAAGTTATTTCCACCACTCTAATGGGTCAAGGTTAGTCGTTCTTGGGTTGGTAAATCAAACCATCCATGAAGAAGAGAGGCTGCCACCTTAGTTAAACATTAAGGTAGGCTTTCTCTAGCCATTTCAGAGCTGACTCTTTCATGATGCCACCATCCACCCAGTTTACCCGTTGGTCAGTCTCAGAGTGAGTCACTTCCATGTGACTAGTTTGGGAAGGCATGTGGGATGGGGGGTAGTGTTTGAAATGGCTTACTCTTGTTTTTGGTGCCCATTCTACTCAGTATAAGGTCCTGCAATTTTGTAGTTAACTGTGGTGTTAACTCTGACTCTCTAAAAAATTAAAAGGTCTGAACGGGTTTTACCTGTTGCCGAAGGCTATTCCCTGGTAGCAGAAAAATGCTCCTCAATGCTATAATGTACAGAAGCCTTGGATTGGGAGTCAGGAGATTTGCATTCTAGAACTAGTGTCACCACACATTTGCTCCTCCTATGACCTTGGGAAAGGCAGTTTCTCCAGGCTCTAGTTTCCTCAACTGTAAAATGAGGTTAGATTAGATGATCTCTGAGATCCATTTCCACGTTAACATTTGTCGGTTTCACAGTTCTGAGACTAAAGTATAAAGAAGCACCTACTGATACCTCTCGGTTGGGTAGAGTTCAACCTCTTTTGAACCTTTAAATATCTTCCTCCCTGGCTTCATCATCAGAAGGGAGAATTTCAGAGGCTTTTTTTTTTCTTAACCTTAGGATTCCATAAAGGATCTCAATGTGGTGAAATTCTTAACATTGTTTTCAAAGGGAGCATATTTCTTTTAAAAGTACACAAGCTGTAGAACACTCCTAAGAGAAGGTCTGCCTTAATGAAATTGGGTAGAGAGTGGAGTATCCCAATTTCAAAAAGACTGCGAGTAACAGAATCATGGAGAGAAATTAGTGAAAGGATCAAGATTCTGTGAGCCGCTCTTTGCCCCCTACACTTATTTATGTAACCACATTCTTTGAATCATTCTAGAGTTAGCCTCTTAAAAATGCAGATTTTCCTGTCTTTAACGAAGAATAAAGAAAACTTTATGACTAACAGTTGTAGAAAAATCAGAGCTAGGAAGGAATGCACTTATATGTAGAATATTTCTTGGATCAGAAGTGAGTGTGTTTGGGGGGTGGGGCGATGGGTTAGCCTGGTGATGGGTATTAAGGAGGGCATGTATTGCATGGAGCACTGGGTGTTATACAAAAACAATGAATCATGGAACACTACATCAAAAACTAATGATGTAATGGATGGTGACTAACATAACAAAATTAATTTAAAAAAAAAGTGAGTGTGTTTGAGTGTGGAGATGTGCCTATTCAGAGGAGCGGTGACACTCAGCGACAGCTTATTATGGAGTAATAGGATACCTTTCCGTGGAAGTAGCCATTCTTGATTGCAGATATTATTTCACTGCTGGTGGCTGAAAACACTACTCAGGGATAGTGACAGCTGCTTCTGTGCTTACTTTAGTTACATCATGGATGTCAGGATGCAAACCATTTGCCATGGCTGAACTTTCTCCTATTTAAAACAACAACAAAACCTCGGTTTTGTGAGCTGTGTGGAGTGAGAAATAGTTCACTTGGAGTGTCTTGTGTGTATTAAGGGTATGTCACATGACAATGAAGGAGGTATAGTAAAGGGTGCATTGTCATTTGCTCTTGCAGGCAGTAGTAACATCTCAGGAACACACTACCAGGTTTAGAGTTCTAGAAGCTGTGGGATTTATAAAAGAAAAAGTAAATTTCCCTGTTCTGGAGGAGCTTGATCTCCAGTTGCGAATATAAAATGTACACATCCAGAATGGCTCATGATCACTTAAAAAACATGATAGATGCTGTTGTGATTAACAAAATGTAAATCCATATAAAGCATTACCTTGGTATTAGATCTTATATGGGATTGCATTCGAATGCTTAAGATGAAAACCAGGGTAAAGAAAATTAGCCAAGAAAATCTGAGGACAGCATATTGAATACCCATGTGCCATCCCTCCATAAGCCCAACTCAGCTGTTTTCTTTGGCATTGAATAAAATTGCTCTTTTTTCAGTTGATGAAGTGCTAGCTTGTATTTAGGAGTCACAATGAATGAAAAATAATATAGCTTTAAAAGACCATGTCTGCACACATGACACAGCATGGATGAACTTGAGGACATTATGCTAAATGAAATAAGCCAGACACAAAAGGACAAATATCTTATGATTCCTCTTCTAGGAGATACCTAGACTAATCAAATTCATAAATACAGAGAGAGTAAAATGGTGGTTACCAGAGTCTGGGGGAATAGGAAGCGGAGAATTAGTGTTCTTTGGGTATGGAGTTTCAGTTTTGGGGGTGAGGTTCTGGAGATGGGGTAGTGTTGATGGTTGCACAGCAATGTGAATGTACTTACTGACACTTAGCTGTATACTTAAAAATGGTCAAAATGGTAAATTTTATGTTATATAAATTTTACCAAAATAAAAAAAAAAAATGACCGTATTCCCAGATTGTAAAAGTAATACCAAAAGATGAACTCAAAAAAACAATGTAAGCAGTGGTAACTTTTTGGTAATAAATAGATTGATTATATGTAGATTTTCAGGGAGAGTATTCATTTGGACGCATACATTTTTAGAAATCAAACTGTTCATAAGTAGGGCTAATTTTTGCTTGTTACATATGAAGGCATGACCTGCCTCCTGTTTTATAGCTAAAGAAGGAGGTCAGGTCCCAAAGAAAAGAAGAATTATTATCCAAGCTTATCCCAAGGAAAGGTCCCAAATCTAACCCCCTTTGCTCACCGGTGGTTCCCTCTTACACAGATGTTTACCAGGTGATATCATACCAGTACTTCCTTGTACCATTTTTACTGTTACTTAATTGTTTTCTTTGTTGAGAGTTTTTATCATAAACAGATGTTGTACTTTGTCAGATGCTTTTTCTGCATCTACTAAGGTGATCATATGGCTTTTTATCCTTCCTCTTATTGATGTGATACATCACGTTGATTCATTTGCAAATATTGAACCATCCTTGAATCCCTGGAATAAATTCCACTTGATTGTGGCGAATGACTCATTAATGTATTGTTGGATTTGGTTTGCTAGTATTTTGTTGAAAATTTTTACATCTATGTTCATCAGGAATATTGGCCTGTAGTTTTTTGTTGTTGTTGTTGTGTCCTTATCTGATTTTGATATCAGGGTAGTGCTGGATTAGAATGGATTTAGAAGTTTTCCTTCCTTTTCTATTTTTTTGGAATAGTTTGAGAAGAATAGGTATTATCTATTCTGTAAATGTTAGCTAGAATTTGCCTGTGAAGCCGTCTGGTCCTGGACTTTTGTTTGTTGGGATTCTGTTGATTACTGATTCAGTTTCTTTGCTGGTAATCAGTCTGTTCAAATTTTTTATTTCTTCCTTTTTCAGTTTTGGTAATTTGTGTGTTTCTGTTGTTTTTTTTTTTTTTTAAAGATTTTATTTATTTGACAGATAGTGAGAGCAGGAACACAAGCAGGGGGAGTGGAAGAGGGAGAAGCAGGCTTCCCACTGAGCAGGGAGCCCGATGTGGGGCTCGATCCTAGGACCCTGGGATCATGACCTGAGTAGAAGGCAGACGCTGAACGACTGAGCCACCCAGGTGCCCCCCCTTTTTAAAAAGATTTTATTTATTTATTTGGGTAATTTATATGTTTCTAGGAATTTATCCATTTCTTCTAGGCTTTCCAGTTTTTTGGCATATAGTTTTTCATAATATTCTCATAATTGTATACCTGTGGTGTTGGTTGTTATTTCTCCTCTCTCATTTGTGATTTTGAGTCCTTTCTCTTTTTTTCTTGTTAAGTCTGGGTAGAGGTTTATCAGTTTTACTGAATTTTTTTTTTTTTTCCAAAGAACCAGCTCCTGGTTTCATTGATCTGTTCTATTGGTTTTTGTTTCTATATCATTTATTTCTGCTCTAATCTTTATTATTTCCTTCCTTCTGATGGTTTTAGGTTTTATTTCTTGTTCTTTTCCTAGCTCCTTTAGGTGTAAGGCACTCTATCGTTTTGGGGGTTTTGTTTCGGTTTGTTCTTACCTCTATTGATTTCTGTGCTAATCTTTATTATTTCCTTCCTTGTACTGGCTTTGGACTTGGTTCTTTCCCTGTTTCCTTTAGGTGTAACATTAGGTTATTTCTCTGAGAGTTTTCTAATTTCTTGAGGTAGGCCTGTATTGCTATAAACTTCCCTCTTAGAACAGTTTTTGCTGCATCCCAACAATTTTGGACCATTGTGTTTCATTGGTCTCCATGCATTTTTTTTTAAATTCCAGTATAGTCAACATACAGTGTTATATTAGCTTCAGGTGTACAATATAGTGATTCAGCAATTCTATACATTACTCAGTGCTCATGATGATAAGTGTAATCTAATCTTAACCCTTCGCCTGTTTTCCCCATCCACCCCTTCTTCGTCCCCTCTGGACATGAACAGTTTGTTCTTTATATTTAAGCATCTGTTTTTTGTCTGTTTGTTTTGGTTTCTTAAATTCCACATATGAGTGAAATCATATGGTGGTATTAGTCTTTCTCCAACTGACTTATTTCACTTAATAAACCCTCTAGATCCGTTCACGTTGTTGCAAATGGCAAGATTTAATTATTTTTTTATGGCTGAGTAATATGCCTGTGTGTGTGTGTGTGTGTGAGAGAGAGAGAGAGAGAGAGAGAGAGATTTATCTTATCCATTCATCTGGGATGGACACTTGGATTGCTTCCATGTTTCTTGGCTAGTGTAAATAATGCTGCAGTAAACATAGGGATGCATATATCTTTTCGAATCAGCGTTTCTATTTTCTTTGGGCAAATAGTAGTTGATTTACTGGGTCGTAGGGTAGTTCTATTTTTAACTTTTTGAGGAACCTCCATACTGTTTTCCACAGTGGCTGCACCAGTTTGCATTCCCACCAACAGTGCTTGAGGGTTCCTTTTTCTCTACATTCTCGCCAACACTTGTGTCTTCATGTATTTTTTGATGTACTGTTTGATTTCTTGGTTGACCCATTCATTGTTTAGTAGCATGTTATTTAGCCTCCATATATGTGTTCTTTCCAAATTTTTTCTGTGATTGATTTCTAGCTTCGTACCATTGTGCCGGAAAAGATGCATGATAAAATTTCAGTTTTTTAAAATTTACTGAGATTTGTTTTGTGGCCTAATATGTGGCCTAATATCTGTCCTGGAGAATATTCCATGTGCACTTGAATGTGTACTGTTTTTGGATAGAATGATACATATATGTATGTATGTATGTATGTGTATCTGTTCAGTGGAAAGTCTTTCAAACCTATCTAAATGATCAGAAAAATACAGTGAAGGCAAAACATTGCTGTTTTAGTTAAATGTTACTGCTTGGCAGCTGCAGCCTATTCTATTTTTGTTTAAAGAAATTAGTTATTTTTAGGTATTAAAGACATTACTAGTTCGTTAAGCATATAAAGACAAAATGACAAGATGCAAAGGACTGAAACAGAATTGAAAGGGGAATGACTTTCTCACTGTGAGTCAGTGGTATTTGCATCGTTTTACGTATTACCACCAGTGGGTATGGCCAAGAAATATGTACCATGCCATGCACTCTCCCCAGCAAGCAGAGTAGGTGAGTTTTGAATTTGTTTTGCAGAAAAGCAGTGGATAAGGGTTAATATAGAGAACTGTTTTACAGTGGAGGTGAAAGTGGGACAGGGATTTAAAAGAATCAGTATTGCTAAACATTGTTGTTGATGAAGGCATGCCTGATCCCTCTAGGGGAAAATCAATTGACAGTGATTAACTTAGACCTGTAGTGTTTCTTAGACCTTTGGGGCCAGATAATTGTCATGCAGGAGTGTCCCAAGCATGGGTATTTTTGTTCCCTGGGCACTACATACCATTCATAATATCCACCCTCTCCCCTCCCCCATCATTGTGATAACAAGTTCCAGTACATTTCTAAATGCTTTTTAGGGGTGTCTGGGTGGCTCAGTCGGTTAAGCATTCGACTCCTTGATTTTAGCTCGGGGCATGATCTCAGGATTGAGAGATCCAGCCCCACCCCATGTTGTGCTTGTGCTGGGTGTGGAGCCAGCTTAAGATTCTCTCTCTCTCTCCGTCCTCCTCCCCACCCCCACCAGCTGGCATGTATGCGTGCTAGCTCTCTCTCAAAAAAAAAGTAAAAAACTTTAAAAAGTACTTTTTAGAGATAATTGATTAAGTACTACTAGCTCCATCAGGGGAAGGTTGGGCAGTTTATTCTAAGCAGAGGGAATGACCTCTACAAATATATGAAAACAGGACTGAGCACTTGAAACTTGTCTGTCTTTTCCAGAAGAGAAGAAGAAGCTGATCAGAGATTTTGATGAAAAGCAACAGGAAGCAAATGAAACGGTGAGAACAGGGAGCAAATCCTTACTTCTTCTACCTGGAGTTAGTCTTTTCCAGAAGTAATGCTTATTACCTGATCACAGATTAACTGTTCCTGTCTGTTGATCTTGATTTTGATTATTTCTTACTAAATAAGCCAATTGATGGGGTGAGTGATGAGGGAGTTTGACAAACACAAATGGGTAAAGCTTGGATACTCTCTTAAAATGAGTCTTTGATATAATACATTCCTGATATGAGTAGTAAGGGCATTCTCAAACCTTTACCTGGGTGGTCTTTTAAAATTTCATTTAGGGGCACCTGGGTGGCTCAGTTGGTTAAGATCCAAGTCTTGGTGTTAGCTGGGTTCATGATCTCCTGGGTCATGGGATTGGGCTGCATCAGGCTTGCATTCAGGGGGAAGTCTGTTTGCAGATTTTCTCCCTCTGCCCCCCCCCGCCATGCATGCTCTCTAAAATGAATAAATAAATCTTTAAAAAAAAATAAAATAAAATTTGGGCACCTGGGTTGCTCAAGCAGTTAAGTGTCAACCTTTGGCTCAGGTCGTAATCTCAGGGTCCTGTAATGAGCCCTGTGCCAGGCTCCCTGATCAGCGGGGAGTCTGCTTCTCCCTCTGCCCCTTCCCCCACTTGTGCTCTCTCTCTCTGTGTCAAATAAATAAAATCTTTAAAAAATAAATAAAATACATAAAATTTCATTTAAAAAGCTGGCCGTCGGGGTGCCTGGGTGGCTTAGTCAGTTGGGTGTCCCCAACTCGATTTCGGCTCAGGTCATGATCTCAGGGTCATGGGATTGAGTCCCAGTTGGCTCGTGCTGGGCATGGAGCCTGCTTGGGATTCTTTCTCGCCCTCTGCCCTTCCCCCGCATTCTCTCTCTCTCTCTCTCTCAAAAATAAAAAGCTGGCCATTAAAATCAGTTATTCTTCTTTTAAACTTACTAAATCATAAAAAATGTACCTCATAAGTGGTTGTAGCCACATTCCCTTCTGTTTTAAAAGACCTCTACAAAGACATTAGCAAAATTAACCAATCCAACTCTGGCCATCCCAGGGGGATGAAAATAATTCATGGCCTCTTGTGAACATGTCTGGGTATTACATTTTACTTACCCAATAAAATGGAAATCTGGTTTGGACTCTGGTTATCTAGGACATGGAGACAGATGACTGATTTTCAGAAAGAAGAGGAAGGAAGAACCTTGCTGCCAGACCCCTATCATTTTTAGTATAGTAGACTTCAAAGTGCTTCATGATAGCACTTGAACCATAACAAACGAAAAATTTGTTATACTGAAAAGGGAATTTGAAGATTTGTGGAATCTTGAGCAGATTTCTTCAATTCTTGTATATGAAATAGAAGTAGTATCTCCTACCTTATTGAGGACAGGAAAGATTAAATGAGGATTAAATAGGATAATGTATATAAAAATGTTTAATAGGAAATAAGGTGCTTGTTAGTTTTTTCACTCACTCATCACATACTTTTTGAATGGCTGTTCTCTGCATGCTGGGCGCTGTGCCAGGCACTCAGAGAAAGGAGGTCAACATGTCACATGTGATCCCTGCCTTCGTGGAACATATGCTTGAGTACTTACTTGCAGTTGTCTGCGGTTTGATTAGTCCAAACTAGGCATATGCCCAGATGAGAGAGAAAAAAACGCAGCCCATCTACTCACTACTTTCTGCCCTCCTAGCTGGCAGAGATGGAAGAGGAACTACGTTATGCACCTCTATCTTTCCGTAACCCTATGATGTCTAAGCTTCGGACCTACCGGAAGGACCTTGCCAAACTCCATCGGGAAGTGAGAAGCACACCTTTGACAGCCACACCTGGGGGCCGAGGAGACATGAAGTATGGCTCATATGCTGTAGAGAATGAGCATATGGTAAGCTTCAGCTGTTTTTTCCCCTGAAGGGCCTGTGGCACAAAAATTAGCCATGTTGTAGGGTACAGTTTATGTTATCAGTGCGTAGTAGTAGACTCTTGTTCTTTCCACCTGTTTCCTGTATCCAGCTCCCCTTCTCCTCTTGGGTATTTAATGCAGATCTTTCCAAACCATGCTTACTTAGATTTCTTTTTATCTTTTATAAAACAGTGCTTGGTACTTAGTGGAGGAGTACAAGTGTTACCTATTCTTTACTATATCCGGACTTTGTATTCTGACGCATTGATCCAGTTTTTCACTTATGCTCAAAAAATTCAGTTAGGTTTTTAATTTATCCAGAATATTGTTACAAATTAACCCAAGCTTTTTTTTACATTTATATCAAGATGGTCCAACAGCAGAGACATAGTAGAGAAGGCAGGATGCTTTCAGGAGGGAGCTCACGGCTTACTCAGTTGTTTTTGTTTTTTTTTTTTAAAACGGCTTACTCAGTTGTAATGGAAAGCCAGCCAGACTACCTTTCTAGACTCCAGTATTCTGATTTATAAAATTAGACTGACAATTGAAAATCTATATTCTCAAACTGTCTAGAGAAGCTGGACAAGTTCACAAAGATTAAATGTATTGCATTTGAGATTATACCCCACTGTACAAAGTAGAAATGGCCTGGCAAGTGGCCCGCAGGCAGCGTGGGAGAGAAATGGATGGGGCCCACAAGTATAGACTGCACGTATGTAGAAAGGCTAATAGTGCAGTGTTAAAACAATCCTGTTCCGTGATGCATCCTGATTATGGTTCAAAAGACATTCAGATGATACTGGCCTGACATTGCTGATGTCAAAATTCAGTTGTGAAGAGAGACTGGGAAAAGGCAGTCAGGTGGAGCTTGTTAAAGTAAGATGAGAGGTATAAAGTGACTTTGGGCGTTTGTTACCAAAAATCAACAACAAAAAGGGGAGATAAAGCCAAACAATAAAATTACTAGATTCAGAAATTATAAGGACAATTTAGACATAACATACCACCTTCAGTGGTATTATTGTTCCAAACCTGGGGTTGATTTATATGATCTTACTGTCTTTTCCTGCTCTTCAGTCTAATCAGTTAAAAATCTCCATCTTTTATTTTAAAAAAGCCTTATTCTTTTAAGCTAAAGTAACGGGTTTATTTCAGTGTCATTCAGCGGTTCCATCATCCACTGGTCTGTATGCCATATATGAAAAGACTTGTTACTTATCTGGAAAGTCAATATTTTGGTTTCTTGATGGTGGTATCTAGTGCTAGTGGTCACCTGTTTAGTAATAGGCCTTGTGAACCAACCCTTTCTGAGTGTGTGTGTGTAAGTGCTTTGAATAGCGAAGAACTTAGCTGTACCCATTTGTCAGTGGTTAATTCCGGTTGACAAAGGCTACTTCTGTTATCATGTCTTCTGTGCTTGGGATTATAGGTGAAGTAAAACTTTGGCAGGGATTTAGAAAATTAGGGCACTTGGGAAATTAGGGCAGCTTACTTGGCCCCTGAGAGCAGTCACCAGTGTGGCAACTTCAGGGTTTTGTTTTGTTTGACCTGGGTTGAAATTCTTTTTTGGGTTTCCAAGACTAACCACATAAGTGTCTTACACAAAATGTGATAGTGTTTCAAACTTCTAAGTGATTTCTGTATGTGCTGCAAATGAATAGCTTATTCATGGTCCCTCAGTCCTCAGTACCAGTCAGGTGGAAATCTTCAGTGAATTAATCTATTTCTAGGCTGTGGAGTTTAGTTGGTTTGTTGTCCTGTCAACAGTTACAGGCTGTACGTATATTCAGGTAGCTCCTGCACCCCAAATCGGGGCCACTGCCTCTCAGAAGTTGTTAGTCCAGAAAGCACATGAAATCAGTTCAAATTCATCACCAACACGGGGGAAATGCTCTAATGTTTTTAATTCTTTTCTTGCCTCACATAAGTATAACAAGCAGTGACATGAGAGGTATGTGATCTTGTCTTGGATTCTAATACTCTTATGGTTGATTAGTATCTTTTAAAGTCTTAAAAGTAATGAAAATTACTGTACATGCAATATCCCTTCTTACATCGGAAGGGTCACAAGTCATGTGCTGGCAAATGAATTTATAATGGAAGATGGCTAACATTTCCTTGCTGTCCGGTTCCCATCAGAACCAGCTACAGTCTCAAAGGGTGTTGCTTCTGCAAGGCACGGACAGTCTGAACCGGGCCACCCAGAGTATTGAGCGTTCTCATCGGATTGCCACAGAGACTGACCAGATTGGCTCAGAAATCATAGAAGAGCTCGGGGAACAACGTGACCAGTTGGAGCGTACTAAGAGTAGGGTAAGTCTGAGTGGATAGGGGAAAGGAGGTGGGCCCCTTATATCCTGATGCCTTGCCACTGCCAGAAGCTACGGCAGTTCAGAATTCAGGGTTAGGACCTCTTAGATGCTTACACTTTCCTTGGCTGAGGGATTTCTCTTGAAAGTAATTTTACCCTTTGGATTTAGAGGTCATTGGAGGCAAAAAAAAAAAAAAAAAAAAAAGTGAAGAAACCAGTTTCTGCATTTGTGGAAGATTGTCAAATCCAAGATTGTAGCCACTCTATCCTTCAATTTCTAGGTTACCAACTACTTAAACATTCCTAGTTTTTTTGTCCTTTAGATCCAAGGCTATTTTCCACAGGTCATAAAATAGTACTACTGACAATTTAGAGGTTCAGTCCTGAACTATATAACTCTGTTGTTACCCAAGGTAAGCTAGATAATTGTGGAAGAAAATGGGAAATGACTTAGGCCAGATAACTATATCAAGTCCTCTGAAAACACCTCATTTCTCCCTTTCCATACACCTGCATAGAAATTTTAAAAATAGTACAGTTTGCCAATAGAATGTTATATTCTTAACATTATGAGGCAAATACAAATTGAAGAACAGATACTGTCGGCAAGACTTGGATGACTTCCTCCGTGTGGGGACTGGAGAAGATTTTCTCATATCCTAAGAGCTGCAATTCTCCATTCTTAAATCAGAATGATTTAAATGATTTAAATTCACAAACATGGAATTCAAGGTAAACTGTAGAGAAGGCAACTTGCTTACAGACTGTGTGGTTTTTGACTTTTGAACACATCAGGTAGATTGGTTGAATTTAAAAGCCAAGAAATGAGCTGAGGGATCAACTTACTTATGGCCACTGGGGTATGGGAACAGATGGCAGGTGGCATCTGTTGAAATATCCCCCAGCTATCTAGATATTAACAGGCAATCAAAAGGACATAATTTTTAAAAAAGCTTTTAAAAGGATTCCTTTCAGAATTCCGTTTGTCTGTAAGAGGGATAAAAACAAAACAAAACAAAACAACCAGATCCCAAAAGTGGTAATCCACCAGCCTACAAAAACAAAACCTCAAGAGGCTCCCTTGGAGTTTGCCTGATGAAATTCAAATCTGAATTTGCCTCACGGTTACTGGCAAAGTACATTTAAGGCCTTTTTTTGTTTTGAGTAGCCAAGGTGAAGGATTAGTTGAAGGTGAAGGTGAAGCCAAGGTGAAGGATAAGCCTACTTATCCAGTACTAAAGTATCTTGTCCTTTCCAGTTTCTTCTACATATACTCAGGCCATCATTCAACTTGGTTTGAGGGAGTTTTTCAGCACACTCCCTTTAGTGCCCACTGTCAGTTTAGAAACCTCCAAGTTCTACAGTATGTACTTTTATTAATTTTATTTAATTGCTGTTTTCTCTTCTCAGCTGGTAAACACAAGTGAAAACTTGAGCAAAAGTCGAAAGATTCTCCGTTCAATGTCCAGAAAGTAAGTTTTCAAAATAGAGTTAAGAGAAATTTTGTGACTAAGACATTAAACAGTGACTTGTAAAGTCCTGATAAAGCAGTTGTCCAGTTAAATATCCCGGGACAAAATCCTTTGTTAAAAGTATATGCTGCTCTGGGGCGCCTGGCTGGCTCAGTTGGTTAAGCGTCTGGTCCCAGGATCAGGCTCCCTGCTGAGCAGGGAATCTGCTTCACCCCCTCCCTCTGCTCCTCCCCTGCACTGTGCTCTCTCAAATGAAGTATATGCTGCTCTGACTTGGAGCAGTAAGAAATTTGTCCACTTTGAATCCCAGCTTAAGATTTTTCAGAGCACATGGGAATAAGAGAGCTTCATATTCCTTGAAATATATTTGTGTAAACTTGGTTAGAAAAAAACTTTTTACTGCTACTGCTTAGTACTTGCTTTTGGCTCCGCTTGTCCTTCATGGGAGTCAACCCATTGTCAGGGAGTTCTGTCCTATTAGCAAAAAGTTGACTTTAAAAAAAAAACAACCCTGAAGTGGGTAGTATGCACAAAACAAAACTATACCGAACCATTTTCCTAAACAATGATAAATGCCTTGTCAAACAAGAGGAAACCTTCAATTTAGAGTTAACATGAGAACCAGAGATTGGATTCTTTATGTTAACATAGAGTAAATTTTTGAAGCTCTTATACTGCCTTTATAAAGATATCCATTTGAGTTGGTGGAGGAAAAGTAGTTAGTGGTATTATATTTCTCTTTTTTGAAATATGATTCAACCTGATTTCAGAAAATGATATTTTTCAGGGCACCTGGCTGGCTCTGTTGGTAGAACGTGCAACTCTTGATCTTGGGGTTTGTGAGTTTGGGCTCCATGTTGGGTGTGGAGCCTACTTTAAGGAAAAACAAAAACAAAAAAAACCCCACTTTTCTAGGAGGAGCTGTTTATAAAAATGTATATTAAATAAAAATCTCATTGTTCATATTTAAGTAATCTCTAGAGCCAATGTGGGGTTATCCTTAAGTTACAATTGAAAAAAGCTTTCAAGTTGTCACTTACCAGCTAAAGAACTGCTTGAGTGGCTATGTGATTTAGAAAAAAAAAAAATTCAATCTGCCTCACAGTATTCAGCCTTGGCCACAGGGTCAAACCCCTAAGTATTAAGAATGGAAAGAAATAAGGTCATCCAGACTTCTGACTGTTCCCTACTTTGCTTCTCTTTGTAGAGTGACAACCAATAAGCTGCTGCTTTCCATCGTCATCTTACTGGAGCTGGCCATCCTAGGGGGCCTGGTTTACTACAAATTCTTTCGCAAGCATTGAACTTCCTAGAGGGAAGGGTTTGTGGACCAGAACTTTGACCCTCTGAACAAATGGTGTTAGAGATGGGAAAGAAGCATAGTGCTGCTGTGAGGTAATGGTTCGAGGATGCCAGACTGTGGGAGGTGAGAGGGGAGACAGAAAACCGCGTAACTGTGGAGGAACAGCAATGAGACCAGTATGATATACCAACGTAATAAATGCTATTTATGACTTCTTTAAATTTACATAGTATTCCAACATATTAATACCCTGTGAACTGCCAAAAAACACACAAATTTACAGTATTATTGGTCACCAAAATGGAGAGGGAAAGCAGACAATTGTGAGAATGCGCAAGTGTTCTCATTTAAGGCGGTATTGACCCAGACCATTTAGTGTCTCAAATGCCTCATAATTCTGGAATGTCCTTCGCGACAAATGTGTCAGCACACAAAATTTCCTAAATTCTCACACGTTCTTCCCTTTCTGATTCATCTGGTGAATTGGGAGTTGGAAGTTGGTCATAGACAATGTGCCCTCCCTCCCTTGTCTGCCCAAAACTTGAAGCAATCACATCCACTGCCAGGCTAGCTGTAGCCTTGGCCTCTTCCTCTGAAGCAGCCAACTGAGGATTGACTTCAACAAGATCCAGTGCTGACAACAACCCTGAAAGAACAAAGTATGACAAAACCTCAGAAGATATCCTAGCTGCTACTTTCAGTGAGGGTCATCCCACTAGACACAACAAGCCAAGGTAAAAAGTCATTTTCTACTATTAAAATTATCCACTGTCAGGAAGCCCCTTACACCTAACCCTCTTCTGGGCATGAATTTAGTTTCAAATACTGTATACTGGAGTAGGATTAAAATTTATCATTCCTGTTCAACTAACTTAATAGGCATTGCTGTCAGGCTTTCTGGATAAGGAAAGAGCTGTGGGGAAGAGGTAGACAAGGATTTTCCAACCTGCTCAGGCAAAGGTATGCTATACTATGTCCAGTATTACTAGATGTCTGGATGTAGTTGTGTAAAGAACTGTCCCCATTTTTGAACTCTGATGCTCTCTTAAGGCACCCCACATGCCCTAAGTATAGTTATTAGTGCATCTCTTAGTCTTATCCCTGCAGGTCTGAGCTGAGGGAAGACTTGACCATACTTTAATTTGGACTTACCGTCTTGATGGTTTAAGAACTTCTACTAAAGGGCTTGAGAAGGGAAGATTAGACCAGAAGAACCTATCCAGACCTGCCTTCTACTCCCCACCTCCAACACACAAGCTGAGGTATTTAACTTTTTAGTTGGTTATTCTGGGTGAAGTTAATCTACCTCTTCAAGTCATCTGAACAAACTAGCATTGGAGAATACAAGTATCAGAATACTTAGGGTAGCCATAAAGCCTGGAAACATGGGTGTATATACCTACCAGCTTATTGATATTACAGTGTAATACATGGTATACTCAGTGCCATTATATCTATTTAGTGTGCAATTCCTTATTAGCAGTGCATAGTCCATGTTACTGCAGCATTTCCACTGTGCAAGCATCTGGGTGTCTGATGATCTGTCTTTGGTGTATCCCAGAAGTAATCAAGAGTGTTGGAGCTATTAAAAACGTAATTACCCATGTTTTCCAGACTATTGCCACCCTCTAATTTAAGCAAAGTGCTTTATGTAGCTAGTTAAGTGTCATGATAGTCTTTTGGACTAGAATAATGTAGCAATGGAGGGAGAGACAAGGTGTGACCACTACCCCATCTAACTACTAGATGTTACTAACCTCTGCTCGAAGTAGGGTCATTGGGAACCAGAATGGAGGATTGAACACACAGGTTCACTGGCCACTAACCAAAAGACAACTGTAACATCTAAGATTGTGGGTCTGAGAAGGAGACTATCTTACCACTGTCAGACCTGATGAACCTAAGCATTCTTTTCCTTCCTTTAGTGCCTAAGGTTCCAGTAGGCTCCAGAGAGACCATTTCTCAATTTCCGTATCTATCCCAACCATTGAAGGGTTTCCCGTAGCTCTAGACCTTTCATTGTGGGCTCTCTCTGCTGTTTAGACTCCAATTTCATGAAATGGTATTGAAGTATCATGTGGTAGTTGTTTAAATTTTGCAAGGAAAGGTCATTTAAAATAACCTTCAGGAACTAGAAGCTGTCTGATGGAAATGGAAACTGCAAACAAGTATGAATGTGTGTTCCAACCTCTGTAGCCACTCTTAATAATCTAGCACTCATTTTACTAATCTTTTGTCAACCATTCATCTTTAGTATCCCCATATTAAAACTCCTATCAAATAAACTCTAATATAAGGCTTATCCCTTATGAAAAGGCCCAAGATATTGTCCAGCTTTGAAATATCTTTAAGGTTTAACTCCATATTCTCAACTCTAGAACTCACTCTTAATATGTCAGCTATACTAAAAATTATAGCTACTTGGCCTTGCCTTTTAATCTGAGTCTGCCTTTAGACAATTCAGATGCAAAGAACTACATCGGTTTGGCAGGTTATTCTTGTATTTAATAAGTATTTAAGTAGACCATTTTTTATTCAATACTACCTTAGCATATTTTGATATGAGCCAGGTCCAAACATGCCTCTAAATGACTATCCTTTATTAGCCTGACCATGTGGTTTTTAGAGTTTAAACAAAAACGGTATCTGTAATGACATGGAATAGTAGAAAAAACCTTCCAGCATGCAAGAGGCATCAGCATATTTACTTAGAGTTAACAGGTTGATCCCTTCTTACCTGTATTGTGTATTTCCTCAGTAATATACATGCCTTCTCGATAGGTCAGTCCCCCTACAACAGGGGTTCCGGTGGCTGGAGCCAGGGTAGGGTCAAATGCATCAATATCAAAACTCAGATGGATTGGCCTTTGTCTTCTTGAGGGGAAGATGATATGAACAGTCATTTGGGTGTGCTTGGACATTGATCCTTCCTACAGTTGCAACTCCTTGATTTTGTTGCTGTTAGTCCTGGTACTTTGCTAATACAGATTTTCAGGTTTCCTATTCTGGAAGTTATTATGTATTACCATATTAGCTTCCTACGCACCACCTCATAATTTTGCCATTTGTTTTTTGTGCCTCAGAATAACTCCAACTTATATTTCTGACATAACCTAGGCATTAGAGCCTTTTGCATTAACAATTCTTCACTTCCCTATGAGACTGGGCTCTGACAGAGTCTAGCTTAAGTTAGACTGACCTAGGTTATAGTTGCTCTTATTTTCTCCATGTAACAGCAGCTGAACTTAATTGATTTGGTGTCTGTAATCTTCCAATTCTAACTCCAGTTCAGCACAGGTGTCCAAAAGTAGAAACTAGCATACAACACATATATGTTAGATAATTAAAATTTCTTACAGCTTAAGAAATGTAATTGCTACCTAGTAGTATGCCATTAATCACTTGGAAATAAAGACTCAGCACTGAGAACATGCTCTTAAAACTAGCTTTTGGCATTTATCTGCCATCTTTCTATATTACCAAGATTTGCTCAATATAAAACTTTCAGATGAAGCAACAGTGAGCTTAGGAAGAAGGGAATAGTTGAATGAATGCTTCCCATCTTCAAAAGATGGGCAGTAAAAATGGAGCTAAAGAGAAATTCATGAGACACATGAATTTTTTGTATGTGTACATATTTTGCTTTTATTTTAAAAGAAAAGCTGCTATCCTTAAGAGATAGGCTAAAGTATGCTGCTCCTTGAGAGTCTGCCCTATTCCCTTTGGGACTTTTCCCTTTGGAAGTAAACATCGTAAGTTACTTACTTGCCAATTAGCAGATCAAATGTCTGTTCCATGACCTTCTGAATACCAAGTCGATCTATGTCTCTCATGGAAAAATACTGGATATCATAATTCTTTAAAATAAAACTGTGTGAGATATAAAGGAAGGAGTCCTTAGTTTAAAGAACATTTTTAATCAAATGCATGTTGGGGTGGGGGGTTTGTCCTGTTAGTGACCTACAAGAGATTAAGGCAAGGAACAACCTATCAAAAGGAACCTAAATGGCTGGACAGACCCAATGCTTAACCCCAGTGTATCAACTTACTGTTCAGGAGGGTCCACATCTCTTAGACCAATATACACAATACTTGGGGAAGAGATACAAGGTTTGATCCAGGAAAATCCTGGGAGTTGTGGTACCTGTCAAAAGAAGAATGGACAGGATTCATTAAGGATTCTTGGTCTCACCAAGATAATCACCGTGTGCTTCCCAATGTATGCAGTCTGCTTTCTCCTACCTACAGGATATGCTTAATTAACACAAGACACACTTGATCTGGGAAAGAGAACTTATAAAAGTGGAAGTGATTCAGAAGGCAGCTGAAGAACAGATTTCTCAGAATTAAAAAATTTCTAAGGTGGCCACAGTTTCTCATTAACTTACCTAAATAACAGGAATACTGCTGATTAGCCTCTTTCCACCCCTTTGTACATTACTGAATTATTTACACATTGGTTCTTGAAACACAACCCAGTTGCCATCTTAAGTTGTCTACAGCCAAAACACAAATTCTGTTGCCATCTTAAGTTGTCTACAGCCAAAACACAAATTCTGCCTAATGAATAACTTTTGTACTATCCTGGTTTAACTTGGTCCCTCACTGAGGGGAAGGATATACAGATTCTAGTCTATGCCTAACATGGACTCCCATGTCTTCTGAACAGCCTAGGAAAATAATTACCTAGAGGTAATCATGGTTTTGCTTTCCTCTAGACCAATGGGTCTGAGAATAAGGCAGGCCTGGGAGCCTCTAACCAAGAAGTCCTCCTTCTGTGGGTATATCAATCACTAGAGTTACTACCCACTGCCACTTTCCTTTCTTGCAAGTTATGACACACACATCCCCCCCCCCCCCCCCCGAGCAGGGACCATGTCCTCGTCCTCTTTTTATCCCTAGTATTAGTAGACTGCTTGGCCCATGTTTGATGAACAAATGAAGGAATATTAAACATTCCTACCACCACCATCAGCCCATCCTTCATAGAAATCTTACTGAACTAGTTCCTAAAAGCCCCAGCATAACCCCTGCAAGCCATTCAGCCTTTTCATTTCAGCCCCCTGACCTTGTCCTGTAGTTCTCTGAGGAGAAATGAAACTGGCTGTCCATGGAGATTTCCAGATGAAGTGGTGAGGGGTGTATTGATGTCAGCATGGGCATCAACCCAGATCACACAAAGGTCTGGGCAGTGCCGGGCGTGGCCGCTAATGGTTCCGATTGCC